TCTCTCTCTCTCTCTCTCTCTCTCTCTCTCTCTCTCTCTCTCTCTCTGTTTCAATATCGCAATAAATAACAACAGGTGCGTTAAATGCTTCAAGAGGCTATTCAAGTCATACTCAAGAAAGAGACTCCATCTAAATATCGAATCCAACCAATTCAGAAGACGAAAATAATTTTACTTTTTTGATTTTTTTGTTTCTCTTCGTTTGTATTTCATCGATTTTGAATACTACAAAAACAGATAATTAACATCTTCAGCATATTTATGGGCTTAGCGTGTTTGTTCTTTCTTCTTCGGTTTCAAGAAACATTTCACAATGGGAGGAGATGGATCTTTTGTTTGTATGTAGAATTGGGCCAATTTCATGCCGAAAAAACGGAATTATTTGAACCGTATGGCAACGAGCACAAAAAACAATGAGTATCAATTCACTCTTGAATTGACTCTGCTTCAGGATAACACAATGGAGTACTATGCTGAGCACATTTGATACAATCACGACCACGCTTCAGTTTTGTGCGTACGTGCGAGCGTTCGTGCATGTGTGTGAGTGTGTGTGTGATTGTGAATGTATTCAATGGTGAAAATTTTTCTTGCCAAGTTTTTAGAATATGTACTATTCTGGGACGGTTCTGATATCAATTATATTTCCGTTGATTTCGTAGGCTTGCCAACATGATATGTAAAAATTTCCCTAAATTTTATCGCAACACACCACCTAATCTATACGCCATAGATACTACAGTAGCTCTGAGTGATGTATATATACATCATTCCAACATCTATATAGACTTGTTTCTATCCGAAAAATGCCGTTCACACTCGAAAAACTTCCCTAGTTTTATCCAATCAGTTCATTCATCATCAACGGCACACACCGAGAAAAGCATAAACACATGACATCATATTATTTGTACACACACACTCTCTCTCTCAACACCACTTACTTCATAAAATGCTGTGGTTTGCATGCTTTGCAACCAATTGCCACATTTTTTTTTCTCACTTTAATAGCATTGGTAACATATGAATTAAAAAAAAAGAGAAAACCGAAGAACAAAGCATCGACCGATGCATCCAGTCAGTCGGCTGCCTTTTTTTCTTTCTTCTTCTTCTTTTCTCATTTTTTATGGCTTACGTTTCCATTACAAAACAATCGAAATATATTCAACTGAAGGGTTTTTAATTAAATTTGTGACTAATAAACGCAAAGAGATGAGAATAAAAGAAAGAAAAAAATCAACGCGATGGACGACGTCAATCCATCTTTTCAATTACGACATTTCACACAATCACACACAATGTGATACTGTTCTTGCGGGCCATCGAAAGCCGCCCTGTGTGAAATTATCATCATATATCCGTAATTTATTATGTGAGAAAAGAAAATCAAAATCCCAAGCAATGAACGAAGAAACAAGAAAAAATAAACATAAAAGTTGAGAACGCAAAGAAGAAAATCAATAGGAGAAAGGACACAAAAAAATAAGATGAATAATAAAAATCAATTACCTATCGGATGATTCGGATGAGTCGTATCGATCAGCGCAACGTTTTTTACGTAAGTCTTCAATTTCTTGTAGATCCATCAGCGTCTGTTGGTCCTGATGTGTCTTGCCTTTTATGCTTTGTATATTCTTCACTTTTTGCATATTTTGATGTGTTTGGTTCATTTTTTGTTGCTATTTTGTTTTTTGATTTGGAAGAACACGATACACACAATATGAGATATTTTTTTGTTTTGATATATACTTTTGCTTATTTTTTTTTGTTGTTGTTTTTGGATCGTCGTTGAGAGAATATTTTGTGAAATTTGGCTGATTTTTTTCTATTTTCAATTTTTTGTTTGTTTTTGCTTTGCCAAAATATTGAGTGGGAAAAAGGAAGACACCGAATCAACAAACCAATGAAATCGATGCGCAGAACTTCAATTTACCTGATAGCCATTGGTTGATGCAGCCGACTTATGCACAGATGATGGTGTTGTTGTGGATACATTTGACTCTTTATTCACTGCACTTTTATTCAATTTGTCACTTTTAGCACGGCTCTTATTTTTGGTCACATCATTTTGGTTATCAACACAACGAATGGCCGTTGCTGTTGTGGTCGTTGCATTGGATTTGGACAGTGGCATTATATTAGCTGGATCTTTGATTTTCAGTTTAGAACTACTCGATCCATTCAATGGTAAAGTGTCTGCCATTTTGTTCACATATCAAAATCGATAAAAAACGATTTTTTTTTCCTTTTCGTATTTGATTTTTTTTTTTCGTTATTGTAACTATTATTATTGTTATTATTTTGCTATAAATTTTTTTTCGACAAAATTGAATGAATCGAACAAAAACCAACTTGCCTTCCTTTCAATCTATATCCGTACACGGGGACGAATATCTAATTTCCACTATATTTTCTCATATGAAACATTCATTTTCATTTGATTGGCATCCGTTTTTGTTGTTGTTGTTTGGTTTTATCAATTTTTCTCGCATCATCCGTGATGATAATGATGATGTTATAACACACACCGAAAAAAAAACTCCAGCAATCTCTATTTCTTTTTCACGTTTACTGATCTCGGCGTTGCTTTGGCTGCTGCTGCTGCTGCTGCTGTTGCGGTGCATGGAAGTTATTCACAACATCATAATGAAAGAAAAAAAACTAAGCGCGATGTGTGTTGTGTTTAAGCAGAGAAAAGTTGTTCAAAATGCATACGAACGCATCATATATACACACTCACATCAATTCCGTATATTATGTGTATATTCTAGAGATAGTGTGTATGATATTTCGGGGGTCTTTGAATGAAACGGAACCATAAAAAAAATATGAATGCAAAAACCAATAGTTAAAGGGTTGCGATGTTGTTGTTGTTGTTGTTGCTGCTGCTGCTGCTGTTGCGATTTTATTTTGCTGATGATTTTGTTGTTGACGATGATGATGGTGGTGGTAATAATGATGATGATGATGTACTGTGCCGCGAATGGTCGCTGCGTTTTTTATTGTTATTTTCTATGCACACTAACACGAATATCACGCGGAAAAATGCTCATCTCTCTCTCTCTCTCTCTCTCTCTCTCTCTCTCTCTCTCTTGGCGAACGTGCACAACGTTAACAACAACAAACCAGAGAGAAGCAAAATACAGAGAAAAAAAAACGAATTGAAGAATTTATTACCACAACGGACTGAATTGACTGAGAAAGAGAGACTATGGTGGCGACGAACGACGACACACGGCAAATAAAAACCACACACGGCACGCAAACACACAGGCTCTCTTATATTATTTTGTTTTTTCTTATATCGCCTTGGTACACATAGAAAAAGATTGATTTCGAATCCGAACTGAAAAAAAAATGCTCTTATTTTTTTTCGCTTCTCTTCTCATTACGTTTTCCCGAACGAAGAAATACAATTGATATTTTGGATTTAAAAAGAAAAACAACAGAAAAAATGAAAACAAAATATTTCGATTAGAAGTTACAGGGCGCAAAACGAAAATATTATACACGATCTACACGGGGGGATTCGACTCGGTGCTTTCGATTGTTATGTGCTCTTAATTCGTTTGTAAAAAAATTGTTTTCGGTTGCTTGAGATATTATTTAGATTTCCTTTTATTCTTTTAGAGTTAATTTTTTTTTTATTTATTTATATATATGTATAACGAATATATATAATAATTCTTTTTTTGTGATGTTGTTCCAGAACGTCAGAACCAAAAAGCACACACACACGCGCGCGCGATACAAATGCTTCGCTGTTCAGCTCACTTCTAAATCGCGATAAAAGTAAATTCATGATTCTAGCTGTTCTGAGCGACGATCAACGAGAGAAGAAAAGAAAAAACGACATGGAGTGTGTGCGCTGTGCGTCAGGGCACATTCCGATCGGAAGACGTAACCGTGTCGATTTGGTTAGAGAAGATCGTTTCGTTTTGGTGAGATAAATCCAATAAATAAATTTTGAATGAAATTTTCAAAAATGTCATCTCTTCAATAGATAGGGTCTATTCTGAAAAAATACCCGTTCGAAGCTAGATCAATGTAAAACTTATGGTTTGAATCCACTAAATGATTCGTGTGAAATGTGCCCTGACTAGATTCACACATAAACGCCAATCGTTGCCGCTTCACATGTATAAAAGTATATATATTCGTGATATTATCCGTGAGCACACATTCATGTTGAATCCCAGAGTCTCTCGCTCACTCTTTCTCTCTCATTTCGTGTGTCTCCCTCTGTCACACTACACACAAACAAAACAGACACACAGACCGTGTTACACACACGCGCACACATATACACACATACACACACACACGAGGCACTTACATTCAAAGCAATGGCAAAAAAACGCATATGCAAGAGCATACACTCGACACACATTCGATATGTACATTGAAAGTCGTGCGCATAGTCTCATAATATACTCTACTCTCTCGGGTATCACGCTCTTTGTTTGAAGCGGTAAGCAGCAACGGCAGCAGCAACAAAACACACACACGCACACACACCGTTTGAATGTATATCTCTTTCGGCGCGAGAAGCACCCATATTTATTATATATTTATTTGTTCCTTCGCGATGCATTTACTATGAAGTTGAATGATCAGGCATTTGCTCTTGGTGTGTTCGTTCTTTTGCTGCTGCTGTTGCTGCTTTTGCTCGCTGTGTGTGCAGAGTCGGGAGAACCAGTATGTTAGGCCTGCGAAAAACCATTCATCCGCAAGGGTTTAGTCACATGGACTTCGACGAATTATGGGTGATGCATATATATCAAAAACACGGAGAGAGAGAGAGAGAGAGAGAGAGAGAGAGTGAGCAGAAAAAAAAATTGTTCAATTTTATTGTTGTTGGTGCTGCTGCTGTTATAATTCATTTCGGCCTAAAACTTGCTATTCAACTAATTTGAGGGATCTATTCTCTAATCGTATGCGCGCAAACGGCACGATGCATATATGGTATAGAAAATGTTGCTCTGTTCAAACGCACAATCGGATTCGAGAACGGGTCGAATCGAAATCGAGAAAAATAAAACTGGTTTTTATGCTCCAATGAAACTATCCACTCATTTGAGTTGGCCGTGGTGGTTTTTGTTTTTTACGCAGCCATTTGGCTATCTAACATACACACTCCAGCTGATTATATGTTTCCCTTTCTCGAATTAAACTCAACTCTTTAGGCAACAAAGAATGAACAGGAGAGGAAAAAAAAGACTAACTACTTAGCAACATTTTAAAGCATTTTTCAAAGTCTTTTTTTCTTCATCCTCGTCGTCGTCTTCTTTTTCCCTCACTCACTCGTTGGGCTTGAAAATGCGAGACGAACAAACGAAATGAAGAGAAAAACAACCAGCTAACAACAAACAAACTTGGGGAATGTGTGTATGTTATGTGGGCATCATCGGCTACATTATTTACACAGCGATGATATAAGCGAAAGATTGCATTTGCTCTCACATTAGAATTCCGCCATGCACTGCATCCGCACCTTGTAAAACTCACACACCCAGGCCGTATTGCACCTCATCATCGGCAGCGAGAGCTGCTCGCTAACTCAATACGTGCTGTCGTCGTTGTTGTTTTTTTCCCCGTCATTTCTTCGTACAAAAAAAAAAAACAAGAAGACAAGAATTTCAATGTTGTTTGATCACATAACTTTTACACAGATTTTTGTTGTATGCTTCTCTCTCTCCCGCTTTCTCTCTCTTCATTTGTTATTTCGTTTGGACGGATCTCTTAGTTTTTTTCCCCCGTCTCTCGGTCACTGTGTGAGTAACTGAATGCAATCCAACCAATAGAGTAGTAGAAAAACAACGAAGAAGAAGAAGAAGCAGAAAAATAAAATCTTTCGTTCAACGACTTCTATATTATAATACATCAAATACGTGCTGCTTTCAAATTGTATATATATTAAGCTTGAAAGCGAATCAAATGAAAGGCAGTTTGACTCATTTTCCATTGACTTATTTAATTCAGCTTGTAATTTGTTTTTTTTTCTTTCATTCGCTTTTTTTCCTAGCTTTGCGCTACTTTTTTCTCGTGTTGAACATATTACTCAATCAGAATTGACCGCAAAGTTGAATCTAAATGAATTATCCGAGGTGATAAATTTCGATTTGATGAATGGATTTGAATGTTGTTGCGCGGTCGTCGTCGTCGCCACCGTTGTGGTTGCCGTCGTCTTCGTTACTGGTGCCGCTTCTGGATACGTTTTACTGCCACTTTGAATCTCATTGTTTCCATTTGGTGTGCAAATTTTAGCTTCAGCCTTGTCGTCATCACTGCTACGTTTCGCCGAATCGACCAAATTGGCATCTGAAATGCAAACAGACAAACGCGATCGGAAACGCGCGCGCGCGATCAACACCGCATGTTTAGTCATCCATTAACAAATAATAAATCACACCATCACAACCGATATTCCGTTCGAAAAACACTTGACGAATGTTATCAGACGATCCGTGTGTGTGTGTGTGTGTTTTGTACGTAGTGTCAACAGAGAGTACATACCGTTTGTTTCAGTTTGCTTTTCGATTGAAAGCTTTTCCATTGCGTCAATCGGAAAGTTAAATTGAAAATTGGTGTTGCTACCCAATGTGGATGTGAAGGATTTCTTCACAAAATGACCCTTATTCGTCGCTGTTCTCTGCTCCTTCGTGGCACCACCAACGAATTCAATGGATGTATTGCCTATTTGATCGAGCAAGAAAGAGCAAGATGGAGTTATTTTCGTTCATATATTTGAACTGTGATTCATTTATCTGTACGACTGAAATTTTTTTTTTTTACTCTGATAATGATAACAAACTGATACTGACCTACCCGTAATTTCTTTTCTTCGTCAGCCATTTTACGACGATAATCACCGAAAGCCAATTGCATTAGCTGTCGCTTTTTCACCATCGGCTGGCTGTTGCTTTTTAACGATTTTAACGTCTTTTCCGCATCTTGAGCTGAAATTGTTCGGAAAATAAGGCATTTTTGGGAATATTGCTTCAAAAATTGTCTAGGTTTCAAATAATTTCCATTAAATTGTCATTTTCATGGACTACATTCAGAATTTGATCCGAAAAAAAATATCTGAATTCATTTGAAATTTCAAATGGACCGGTCATCATGTGTTCAATACGATTGATGTTGTCATTACTATTTCAAAACGTTGTCATTAGCATTGAATTATTTTCGGTTCACTGTCATTTTCAATTGAAAACACATTTTGTACGAAGAAAAAAACGTTTGACGTCAAGCTCATGATTTGCTCACTGAATATTAAAATTTGCAAATGTAAAATTTGACGAAACCGAAATATTTCGCATGATTAAAATGTTTATGTTTTTGACGTCACAAAACGTAATCGACCCAAGTGTATTTTACCTTGTTTGGCATTCAATTTCCCCGAGCTCAGCGAATTCTCAAGCGTTTGTATGCACCAGTAGAGTTCCAATTCAAATTGTTCAATAGCTGGTGAGTCTCCTGAATTGCTAGCACTGGCAGGTGCCTCATTATGAGCCTGAATGTTTGGTGTACTTTGAATGTTTACAGCCACTTGATTGTTACGATTTCCACTCGACGGACTGCTAACATATGAATTATTTATGTTTTTCAGACGTCCCGTGTTTTTGTGGAGTTTTGCTTTTGGTGGTGGCATTTTTTAAAAATATTTTTCAGAAATGAAAATGCGATTGATCTAAACGTATCTTGGTACAAAAAAAATCACTGTTTTCGGTTTTGTCAACAATGCTGTTGTGTGTACGAATGGTTGAGGTTATGTGATCTGTCAAATCGAGAAAAAAAAACGTAAGACACATGTGAATACTGACAGTGTATCGCATTTTTACCAACTGTTCAATTTTCTTGTCAACGACATTCCATTTCGAAACCTTCTTTTCCTTAAAATACTTCTTAGGGCTCTTTTCTCGTTAAAATTTTCAAATGAATTTCCACAATCAGAACACGATTTTCAGTAGATACTCTTTATTTGTTTTTTTTTCTTCAACATTTTTTGTTTTACATCAAATTATTGATATCCATACGAAATTGCGATTAACAGATATCGTGCAATATGATGGAGATATTACAAAAAAAAAGAGAAATGTATGTCTGCCTATTTACGTTTTTTTAAATATTTTTTCTTCTTTTGCTAGATAGAGTTTTGTTGTTTTCTTCTTCATCATCATCATCATCATTAAAAAAAAAAGTTTCATTACTCAAACGAAATGAGCAACAATTACGGTTAGATGGTAGAATTTCTCTTTACGTGTTGGATTCGGCGAATTTAAATAGTACATTTGTAATTAAAATAGTAACCAAATCTGCTTGAACTAAGCTTTTCCACCTTTCTTCGTTTCTCTTTCTGTAAATGGAATCAAACAAAAGATTTAAACATTTAGAACAAATCGTAATTGGAATTGATTTTTCTTTTGATTCAAATATGTGCAGTAAATTACCTTTTTTCTCGGCCTCTCGTCGAGCAGCTGCCTCAGCACGATGTTGCTTAATAATAGCCAAACGGGCTAAATCAGCGCGTGCCTGTTCCGTTTTACCCTCAGCATGTAATTTTTGATAATGTGCTTGAGCCCGTTGCTTTTCCAATTCTTCACGTTCACGTCGTGATAGTTCCGTTTTCGATGAGCCCGCCGCATTCAAATCGATCTTTGTCACCTTTTCGGCAGTTTTCTTTACGGCACGATTTGGATTTTCAATTTCAATTAAACCCGATACACCTTTCTTCTTGTGTGCATCCTCATATTCACTTCCCGATGAGTCGCTGTCACCGCTGCCACTTCCCTCTTCTTCTTCTTCTTCCGATGATTCTTCATCTGAAGCTCTAGACAAATTGTGACAAAAGGTTAATTAGATCGCAACCAATTTGAACAAAAAAAAAATCATGACAACATCAATTTTCGATGGAGATTGTTATCAAACATGAACTTCTTATCAATAGATGTATATAAAACTTACAATTGTTACGTTAATATATATGAATACGTTAGTTGAAAAAAACAACAAAACAAAAACAGTTCGATTGCGACGAATTTTGTCATCCTTAAGCACAAAAGTTACTGATTTTTTTTTCGAAAAATATTCATTTTCTCCCAGAAAAATGAATAAATAATTAAAATTCAAATATCGTTGACATGTACATCAAACTAGTGTATACACATTTAAATACCTTTGAATTTTCTTCTTGCGTTGCTCTTCCAGCTCTTCGGGGCTGGTGAAATGACGGCTTCGGCCCTTGTGATTTACGTATTTGGCTGGAAATAACAACAAAACCATTCGATTAGTTTGCATTCAGAACGAAATCTGTTGGCATAGTTATATACATAGCGTGTTGTTGGGTTATGTTTGAATTTATAACCCGAAAACCCATTTGTTCCATGAAACCATGGAAATTTCAATTTTCCACCATATGACAGAGATACCATATAAATTTTCGAAAATAAATTAAAGACACATTGGCAGTTGATACAAACCTCGTGGCATTTTTGTCCTTGTTTGGCTACTCGGTATACACACACTACGATGTCAGTGGGGGGAATACAATATTTTCGATCAACAACCGTTCAATCGACTCGATTCGTTTCGTTTTTTTTCTATAAATTCGTTGAACACTTGCAGCTTATTAACAATTTCGTTATTTGGCAAAATTCTTTACGCTGAAAATTGTATTTGTTTCCAAATTCGAAGCAAAGGATTGGCTTTCAATGATGTATTTAAAATAACAAATGACAACAACAAAGAAAATTGGTCAAAAAATAATATCTGTAATGTCAAAAATATATTCGTCGTGCCACAATCGTCGAAAAAAAAATCCGATGCTAGTACGACAGTTTTTGTGTATTACCCGATGCCATTCAAACCACATTGAACATGTTGACAGACATTTCTATCAAAAGATAATTCGGTTTTTTTTTGTATATTTTTGCCGTAAAAATTGTGTTTGTATGTTTTGTTGTGTAATTTTTGTGAAACGGAAGAAGAAAAAAAATAACTTGTTAAAAATGTCGCGAATTATTCATATCACGCATTTTGTTGATCCGCATTGTTTCTTCTTCAAATTCGATGATGATTTGCATGATACACAATTGCAAATTCTTGAAGAGGAAATATCTTCATTTGCACGAGACAAAGTCAATGACCAGAAGGAGTTTACCGCAAAAGCGGGCGATTTTGTTGCAGCCTATGAAATTGCATGGGGCAAATGGGTACGAGCCGAAATATGTGCCAATTTAAATCATTTGGAGCGTTGCCAGCTATGGGCTATTGATCATGGTAAACTCTTTCAAACGGCCTACAAGAATATTATACCGTTACCGCCAAATTTGATCGACAAAAATGTCATTGGAGTGCATCAGGGCAGCATTTATGGTGCTAGTCCAGCAAAACAGGCAAGATAATTTTTCGACATGTTCTTCTCATTGAAATTCAAACAATATTTATAACTTTGATTCAATGAAAACATTTTAGGATTTCGATTGGGAGACATACGCACCTGTGTTAAAGCCATGCGAAGACTGGTCACAGCAGGCCATTGATCAATGTTCTAAACGATTCATTAGCAGTGAAGATGTGCTCAAAGTACTGTACAATATCAAGGAAAAACGAGGCAACTACTTTTTTGGTGATTTATCTATTCAAGCTATGCCCAGGCCACCGTCTATTTCGGTTGTCGATTTTGGAGAGGCATTGATATCTATCAATGAAGCGATTCGCATCGATTTTCAAAAAGGTTTGATTAGAATCAAAAATTATTATTTTTACAGCTCCCAACTCAAAATCATTCAAAAACAATGCTTCGCATTCAATAATGAATAGCAATCTTTGAAAAAATGCATGAATAATTTAGAAGAAAAAAAACGATGAATTGCTCCTTTCTAGAGATGGGTCGAATTGCACTGAAATATGAGGATAAGAATGTGTTGAACAATAGAACTGGGTCTGATACCGCCTCCGGGCCAGGTAAATCTGTTGTATCAAATGAAACTAACATTCGGCGAAAATTGATGGAAGCTCGTCAAAGAGGCCAGAATCATGCACCGGAACCAAGTATAGCACCGAGTATGGATGCAAGCACGGTTGCTCCAAGTGAAATCAACGGTGGAATTACACGTATGCAAATAAGCAATCGATTGCGAAACCCAGCGCCTAGCATCGTAGCAAGCACTATTGTGCCGAGCGAAATCAACGAAGGTACCACACGTATGAACATGAATCGCAATCGAGGTTTTCAGTCGAATGATGCAAACGGACGAGCCCATATGCCGGCCGGATTCGAACGTGATTCCCATAATTTTAATAAGCATAATAATCGACTCGAATCTGCTTTTCAAAACGGCAAATATATTGTGTCACCTAACAAAAAGTAGCCTTTTGGTTGCAGTTCCAGAATCTCTCGTTTTTTTTTATTCGAAGAGTTTAAGATGACATTTTTTATGAACATTTATCGAATGATGGCAAAATGCCCAACTAAATAAGTAAGCACAGTATTCATGTGTATGCAATGAGTCTCTATTTTTGAATAAATCGTTTATCCGCCAATGAGCATGACAGTAAGAATAGCTTTGTATTTTTATGATAACATCAATTCTAATTTTTCTTGTGATTAATTTTTATGTGTTTTTTATGAAAAGAAATTGGAGAATTTCAGATGATTTTCAAGTGAAAATTGTTGTTTCATTCTAACAATAACAGATGGCGCCTCTTGTATCGGATGAAGAAATGTTATTTTGTGAACATATATATTCGCAGAAGAAAATTTTTGGGTTCGTTGGACCAATTTTGAGGAAATAATTTAAATTGGAACTATTCCAAGTTGCTAAAAAGGCAGTGGCTCATCATTCGAAAATCGCCATCAAATGCAGAAGCTTATTTGATTCAAAAGTTGCAGCTGAAAAAAAAATCTACCGAATATTCGAGAAAAAAAAATGTCCCTCGAATTGTTTGGACAAATGGAAGAAAAAAAATCCTTTCCCAGAGAAATGGAAGAAAAATAACCATTGATTAGGCTCCAAACTCAATAAAAAATATTCAGCTCCTGCAATTGTTGTGCAGTTTTTCGCCTTCAACACTTTTAACCTCAACCAGGCAAGCAGTCTAAAAAACTAAACTCAAAACGGTGATGTGGTGCTTTTATGCTTTATTCGAAATAAAAACATGTTCATCATATTGATTCAATAGCGAATAATGTAACTCATTTTCTGTTCTTTTAACTGACATTCATCTACAACCGCCTTATGTTGGTGATCAAATTTAGTGGTGTCCACCACTGTGACCGTGGTCGCCATGCCCGTGGTCACCGTGACCATGATCAGCATAAACTCCGGTATATTCTTCGTAAGCGATAGTGGCAGCAGCACAAGCAGCGCCCAATGGTAAACCGGCGAACAAAAATTTGAACCAACGCAATTTTGGATTGCCCCAAACTTTATAGTTGTATCGCCAGACTTCGTTTCTACAAGTAAACAACGCGCATTCGAGTTATTGTACATTCAATAAGACACTTTTGTTTCAATCGAAGTGGAAATTTCTGGCTAAAATTTTTGGCCAAAGACGTTCCACTTTCAAAAAAAAAATTTTGCAACAAACCTAATCCATGGATCCTTAAGACCACGTTTAGCTAATTCATTTTGTAAATAGTTGAGTTCCCAAATCTTTTCCACTTGATTATTGTAGGTTTCTGGTTTTGGAACTGTGTATGGTTCGTGATGGTGACCGTGTCCGTGTCCACCCATTTTGTGTGCTTCTCTCGATTTTTTCCCACTGGCAAAGTAGAAAAAAAATGATTGAAAAAATAAAATCAAAGGGATCCAATATGCAATCAAAATACCGAAATCTCAAATGAAAATGCTCTTGTCAAACTATACACAATGGATTATGTAAGGAAGGTTCTTCGATATCGCTCAGCTCAATTTGACAAGCAGCTGACTTATCAATTTGATCACATAAAACATTCGTTTACTTACCGACACAAAACTATTCCACTAGAATTGGCTTGTCTGACTGATTTTCGGATAATTGCTGATGGGCAATTTTCAGGTTTTCGTGTAAATGTGCTGTACCAAAATCGTCACTGAATGCAAAATTTTACTAGTGGATAATGGTAAAATGTCACTATGAAAATGTAAGCTGCCCATATGTGTGTGTGTGGCACAGTGACAGCTAGTGACGTTTGAATGAAAAAGTGACAGAAGGTAAATCGATGTCTTGCGTTCGAAGTTCAAAACGTAAAATCGAAAACGGTTGCAAAAATGTTTCAGCATAGGGTAATTCCATGGGAAAATATAATTGAGTCGATCCATATGTAGCAAATTCATCAATCAAATAATCGACCTAATCATATGAATGGCAAAAGGTCGTGCTGGAAAATCATTCGATTCAATCGACTTGAATGCATTTACAAATGCCCTTAGAACAGAATTTTTTTTTCTATATAATTCAATTTTTCTGCTTAACTTCATTGGTTGCTCCAATTTTATTGACCGAGATAAAAATCCAGACAAAAATGAACATTTTTTCCTTTCAAATGATTGAACGAAGAAGAAAAAAAAAACAGCAACAAATCGAACGTCGTTTTGAATCTATCTCAGCGATGTGTGTCTGTGTGCGAATCAGTGTATCCTCCATTTTGCACGTTGAGTATGTATGAATGTGTTTGTTGGACGATGATGGTAAAAAAATGCATACATTATGTTTTCAATGTGCCAAAGGCACACACACAACCACAAACAAAGCGATGTGCCGTGCGTTCGTCGTATGTGTGTTGCTATATTTGAGGAAACAAGAGAGAACCATAACAAGAGCAACAACAACAACAACGACAGCAACACTGTCGGACGAATTGACTGCTGCTGCTGCTTGAACATTGTCAATATTTGGTCTGGTGTGCATGCATATTTTTTATTCGGTGCCAACCAATACACATAGCCGAACAGAACACAACACCAATCGTCAACAGTAACAACAACAACAACACCATCGGCGAATAATAATAGTAAATAAAAAAAAAATTACACATATACGTTTGTTGTGTGCTGTGCTGTGCTGTTTCTTTCTTCGGTATGTTGATTTATACTATTGGGAAAAACAGAGTGATCCCGATAAATCAGTGTTTATTCACGTTTGTTTCGCTTTTTATTCACTTGTTATTTATTATTTGCAAATCAATCGTTCGTGTGTTTATTTCATTCCACTCTTGTCTGTCTCATTCATACGATATTGTTGTTTCTGTCGGCTTGCTCGCTAGCTCGGTCGGTCGGTCGGTCGACGGTTCGTTCGTTGGTTCTGTAAGTTTTGTGTCTCTCGGTGAGTGTTATTAGGCTCACTCTCTCTCTCGCATTTTCAGTTCGGTTACACAAAGCAATAAATCGGTACATACCACATGAAAATCATGTAGTCTTCGTCCAGCGCTGGACGTAAAGCGAGAATTACTGAATATTCTGTTGTGTGTGATTTTTGTTATTTTTCTTTTATGTTATTGTCATTTGGGACATTATTTTCGCCGAATCGAGACACCAAAGTGAGAGAAACAGAAATTCGTGTGTTTGGTTTTTCATGTGCGGTGTGATTTTTCGTTTTCTTCTTCATCAACATCTTTCGCGTATCAATGAAAAACTCGTCTTTCTTGTCAAAATTGTCGTTTTATCGTTCATTTTTTTTTTAAATGTTTTCGGTTTAGATGAAAATATCAATTTCGATTTGGATCAAAGTGTGGATTTTTTTTTTTGGCCAATATGTGATTGAATCAAACCGCAAGAAAGAAACAAACAAATAACAACCAGGAAGAAAAACATTTCAAACAAATCAATGTGTTTACATTTTTTTCGACCAAAACCGACGACCGCGACAACGATGATGTTGTTTATCACGAAGACTATACGTGCAATGGAACGAACAAGGAAAAAGTAAAATGCAATTTTTGTGATTAAAGGAGAGCACGAGAAAAGAACAAAATAATTTTTAAAAAAATTATTCTCAATAAATAAACGGAACCTAGAACAGCAACAACGAAAGAATACATATATATACAACAAAAAAACCAGTTGATAGTGCAAAGTTGGCGAGAATTCAACATAGCATACACCGTGTTGAACCACACTAGCCGGCGCTTAAAACTTACATGGTCGTTGTTTTTTTTCTCTTCTTCTTCGTTGTTGTTGTTTATGCTGTTGACGGTTTCACTATAAATTCAACGCATGAGAATGGTAAAAATAGAGGTGTCATAATCGACAGAAAATTAAGCGAAAAAACACACTTCTGTGTAATGAACAACAACAGCAGCAGCGACTACAAAACGTCATAAATTCATGCAGTCTCTCTTCAAAAAAAAACACCACTTTTAATTGTATAGAGATCAGGTTAACCAATAAAAAATAAAATCACACCGATCGCCAATAAATCAAATTGACTTAGCGCAACCAAATAGCGCGCTCGCAAGTGCGCTGAACGCGAAACGAAAGAAGAAGTAGCATGAAGAAATGAAAGGAAAAGAGAAAAAAAGAGACTCAGAAACCAGAACATCATTTACATTATGCAAAATAAAGTTTGCGCGCACCAGAAACCAGTTGCTCACCTAAACGCCGATCGATTGTTGCCGAAAAGAACGCGGCTGTTTAAGAGAAATAATTACATTCTTGCGAACAACAACAATAGCAGCAGCAGCAGCAGCAGCAACATTTCAATGAATTTTCTTCCGATTCGACGGAGGTGATGATGGTGGCAACAGCAGATGAATGGAAGCAACCATTTGTTACGCGAGTGTACATTTGATGCCGATTACACGGGTCGATTTGTAAATAAAACGTGCACCAAACGATGTCAATGTCAGTAACCTTCTAATCAAAAACATTTCCTACATTTCTCTTTGATGTCATTGTTGTTGCTGTTGCTGTTGCTGCTGCTGTTCTTCGTCTTGTTATTGTTGTTGTTGTTTTTCTTCGATACCTGCGGCGATCTTATGAATTGAATACGACCATGACTATGAGCAACAATCCATAATCGAATTACAAATGCCTTTTCAACAAACAATTATTTTTAATTCAATCGTCGTACTATTCAATCCGAATCGAATCGAATCCATGTGTGTGTGTGTGTGTTGGTTGTGTGTGTGTGTGTGTGTTCAAATAGTACTTTGTTTGTTTGAGATATTCGATATTGCCAAGAATGTGCTGTACAATGAATTACAATGAAATTTGTTTGATTTATTTGAATTGCTTGCAGATGTTCGACCAATGATCGCATTTCATTCATACGAGATCTAATTCTCTTTCCCTCTCCTCTTTTTTTTTGCAGATGTAACAGCAATTTTTCGTAGACGCCAAGACTGAGCGAAGTGTAAACGATCGGGAATAAACGAATGAGCTAAAATAAAAAGTGAGAAAATAAAATAGAGGCAAACGAAAGAAGAAGAAGAAGAAAAAGAAAAGAAAGAAATTAGATTTGATATGATTTGCCGTGTTTTGAATGTGTTTTATTTCGAAATACGCCAATGTCAACAAGGACGAACAAAGTGGGCTCAACAACAACCACAATCAGCTAATCGCCACAATTTTTGGAGAAATGTTGTGAATGTCATTTATTGTAATGGTTAAATAACGCCGGTAAAATATAGGCAGCTAAATAAAGTTTTCCAACATCGAAATATCAATAATAAAAAAAAGCGTTAAAAAATCCGCATATAAAATTAAAGCAAAGAAAAGAAAAGGGAAAAAAAAAATAAAAAAAATGATAAAACACGGTAAACGCAAACGACAAACATGATTTGATTCATGCCACCATCTCTCTATCGATCAAACAATGTGAATGGAATAGAAAAAAAGAGTAACGGAACGAAAGAAAGAAGGATCAGACAGAATGTGTGTTGGTCGTGTGTAGCCGATACGAATCGATTGATGAACAGAAGATAAAAAAAAAATTGTCAGTGAATTGAAACGGATCCTGAATGGTTGTTTTTTAATCTGTTTATCCACAATAAATTGAACTAAATTTCGAATGAACGTTGTTGTTTGTATGTGCAGTGGATGTACTAGAGTCCATCCACCACAAAACACATCCAAAGGCAGCTAAAACAATCGATCACAACAACAACCGGCTTCTCTATTATTTTTTTTGTACATTTTTGTAGTGGTTGTTGTTGCAACAAGAAAGTTTATAAAATAGGAATTTTAAGTGTAAGTAAGTGCTACGGAGTAACCAAGAGCAATGGGCAACAAATGGTATTCACAACGAAAATGCTCACAATCAATTCGATTACGTCGAAAACGGCGCTGCATCATACACAATACGAGCTACAGCTATTTCCAATCTATCGTGATAATCATATTACTAAATTTAGTGCGATTTGAAAATTATGTGGCGGCGACGACGACGACGACGACGGCGGCAGCGGCAGAAACCACCGTGTGGTCATCATCAACAACATTGTCATCGACAACGCCGATCGTGAGAAGGGCAACCTCTTCGATCGAGCCAAAAATTACACACGATAACCGTTCACTCGAACATATCTATTTGCGTGATATTACAAAGACCAGCAACAGTAGTGGTGGTGAGTAGAACAATGACTTTGGCTTTATGTTACCCATTCCTTTTGTTCTTTCTGCTTTGTTGCTCTCGACAAATCAACGAATTTTTAAAATGTTTTTCACGCTTGATCACAAGTACATACCGAATTTGTGGTCATTCACTTGAAGTGGGTCCAAAATTTGTGGTCAATCAAGATATAGCTTCGTTTTACCTTGCAATACGATGAATTCACGACGAGATGGATTCGAATGAAAAAAAAAAGTGCTTGAATTTGTTGACTGTTGTTGCGCGCAGCGGATAAAAGCAAAAAAAAACAGAAGAAGACGAATGAAAAAAGCGCACCACATAGAAGACGAGTTCAAAGTAACATCACACACAACGGAAGTAATCAATAAAGGCACACAATTTCACTTATCTGAATGATTTAAAATGCGTTTGTAAGCAACCGGCATCACCATTTGTCTCATTTGCTATATGTATTTTCTCTGTTTCGGTTCATTAGATTTGTGGTACATGCAATAATCCGCTGAGAGAAAAACACCGAGCGGCCAAAGCCATTGAACAAATGATAACATGGAAAGAAAAAAGAAAGAAAGACAGAACGAAACAAAAACACAACAAAAAATCAAATAAAATACACGGTCCATTAAGGCATTTATAGCAATTGAAAATTGAAATACAACAGATTTCCTAAAGTAGACACTCGATGGTGTGTGTGTGTGTGTACTTTTTATGGGAACTCATAGTAATAACCAACGCATTTAAACCATTATCGATCGTGAATATGCTACCGCATGATCCGAATTATGTTGCATAAGAGCTAAGGAATTTAGCATATTACACGCACATTGTAAACAATGAAGGGAAAAAAATACGCTGAATTGAATGAAGAATTCATACTGAAAATAGATTGGTATGCGTCAAATTTGGAATATATTTTTTTTGTGTTCATTCTTTGCGGGCATGATGCGGATAATATAGTTTTTTTTTTCGTTGTTGAATATATAAATAATTTGTAATAAAAATAAGAGAATCGAAATTCACAGACAGAGGTTTTTTTTTTAGCTTGCTATAGATTAGATTGCCACGAGACGATCACGGAATTTAATGTGTGAATCGGTTGTGGTAATCGAAAATAAATTGAACGAAATTTGCGTTCATTTAATAGATTTATGTGTTCGCCAACACCATTAACGCGATTGATTCAGCCGAGAAAAGAAAAACAACATATACACACTTGGTTTTTTGCGAGTTTTATCTAAGAGATTCCATGCCAAATTGATTCGCAATCTTAACATTCAAATTATTTATTCAACATCGTTCTTGAGAATTTTGTGTTCATTGCCTGTGTGTATGTTCAAGTTCAATAAGAATGCACATTAACGATATTAATCAGAATCAATGCGCAGTTTCAACGTTCAATTTCACTTTTCCCCCTCTGTGTCTGCTTCTAAGGAGTTTTTTTTTCTTTTCCTACGAAGAGATCTATCCACGCCATTTCTATTTCTTGTGATGTCTAGAACAGCGAATTGAATATTGGAATAAAGTGCTATTATTATTAGAAACTGTAATAGCAGTAAATGATGATGTTGATTACGTTTTTAATTTGATGCCATTTGAGAATGCGCAATGCAAAACTACAACCATTTAAAAAAAACAATCTTGGATTACCCATCTAACAATTACCAACCCAAATACATCCGATTCCAGGCACATTTCCAATGTTGAATACGGGGATAGATTTAACCGTAGAAGTAACCGTCATAGTGATCCAATTGTGCATGGAATGAATGGAGAAAAAAATTGCATAAAATTAGCATCAATACATTCAATACTCTTATTTCAATTGAAAAACAATTTACTTACATGGGTACTTCTGGCCTCCTTAGTTAAGTATGTACGCCTACTATACCAAAACAATCAGGCATAGCGGAAATAACATAATGTTATATTTTAATTGTTAAATTATTCAATGTGAATGGCGTGAACGACGATACATGATGCTGGTTAGTTGTTGACAGCAGCTCGCTGGTTGGATGGCCTCTGCAGTGTTTCGGGTAACGTGTACCCAAACAAATCATAGTGTCCTTGAAAATCATACAACAAAACAATGAATGATATGTAAACAAAGCACTGCACCTCACATCACATGCAATACAATCAATATAGTTATTATGAGCATTTACCTTTGATCAGGATACATTTTGCAGCGGCTATGTCACGATACCATTTCGTCTTGTGTACTCGTGGCTCGACAACTTCCATCTCATCGGCTTTATTGAATTTCACGTATTCCACATTTCCAAGCCCATTTACTTGCCATGTTTTGTGGTAGATTGCCACTTTTGGGAGTAAACCTGGGTTTAGTTGATCTGGATGTGGGACATCATTGCCAACCGCTGGATTTCCGTTGCCATCTTCACCTTCTTTCTCGAGCAAAAACAGTTTCAGCTTCTCTTGCCTCATCTTTCGTTTGTTGACCTTGCACACGATCATTGATGGCAGCATTGCACCTTCATCCGGTCGACAATCATGGCAAACTTTGAACCGATGTCGTTTCGTGCGTCGATCAAAACGGCCAAAGCACTTGGCACATGTTTGAGAAGTGAAATACTCGTCGACCATATTAACCACACAACCAGGACACTTTTTGTAACTTCGTATCATTTTCCGATTGCCCGGGCAACGCAGTGTCTTTTTGATGCCGATGGGTGAACTGGGCGACATTTGAGCAGCTCCGAAATGCATAAGTGATGGCTGATGGTTGGTCAACATTCCGGCTATGCTATTGGTCACACTGTTTGATCGAACGTATTTGTCAAAATTCAGTCGCGTGTATTTGTCTGTCGTATATACGGCAATGCCACGTTCCGTCATTTTGAGTCGATGCCGAATGTAGTACTTCCAGTGCATACCCAATGGCGATGGCATCACCGGATAGAGCGCACGATTTTCACGATCTCGCCTCTCTTCCTTGACAAAGTCTTTGGTCCACCGCTTTCCCTGTCGATTTCGAACCGTTTGCTTCGTCCAGTAATGATACTGTTTGCTGCTGATCGTGTAGTTCGACTAAGAAACGAAACAAAACAGATCAAAGAAAACCGTTTAGATAAAAATGACAATGACAATGGCATAACTTCGGTTTATCAAATGTACAATGGCACGTATATTGTTTACCTCTTTGCCAGTTTCGATGTTATGTACCCTTGTTGCGTTCCACGTATTCACACCTGGATCAGTACCACCTTCATTGACAAACTTTTTGTAGTTTTGAACAATGGCCTTTTTGTCATCTGGTTTCAATTTCGTTTTGTTTCGTCGTCTGTCCATTTGAGAGAATTCGGAAACAGAACTTTTTTCTACTGCGATCGAGCCGATAGATTTTCCGCATATCGAAGTATTGGCCCCAATAATACTCCTTTTGTTTTCTGAACTCGTCCTCTGTGATGTTGATTTTGTTGTATTTGCCTTGCTTTTTTGGTGCGATTTTCAGTCCACACAACAAAGAGTACAATGTTCGATTGTCCAACGGGTAGTGGGTACGAGTGAAACTGCAAATGGGAATCACTGCCAGACTTTTCACTCTCGGCGGCCCTTTCTCGATGTACTCATTTTCATTTTGGCCTCGATCAACTGGCTGCTGGCAAGTGCACGGATGGTGATTTCGACGTCGGCATCGTTTCAGCTCTTGAAACTCTTCGCGTTGGCATCGGCGTACTTCACGATATTCCTCGCAGGTGTTGAAATCATCAATTTTCCGCTGGAGAGAAATCCAGAATGCGATGCTCTTGAACCAGTTCTTCCCATTTGTGAATCGGCCGATGTAGTTGTCTGGTATGTCCCACCAACTGTTCTTCGTGACCATTTCAATCAACAAATTACGCCGCTCACGTTTGGCAACATCATCCATGCCATTGATTTCAATATCGTCATTGCCAAAAATTGCCTAACTAATCACACGGTTGATGTCGGCCTCTTCGTATCGAACAACCAACGAAGATTCGAACACTTTTACCCACAGCCATTCGTGCAGGCGTTTCTTGCTATGCGTCTTCAAGTTGTTTTTTACGTTCGTCACGTACGGATTTATTAAATCATTCATTGCATTGCCGAAATCGTCCGCGTTGGGCCAAATCACTCGATGGCTATCGTCCAGCTGATGCACCATTTTACGAAATTCCGGCGGCATTTTCTTCTTCTTGTAAATATTTTTCTTGAGCACACCAAAAAACACGACCGAATCACCTTTTCGCCATTCTGTTCAAAAAATCCTTTGTCATTGTCGTCGAATGCGCGCTCACAACGGAACAGGAACAACTGCGAGGCGAGTGCACAAATTTTCGTTGCCATTATTGATTTGTCGGTCATGGCTGCAATCAACAAGTCACGGTATTCCGGCTGAAGAATGGAACGCAACTGCGTTTTGATGGTTCTTATGCCCGAATCTTTTTCATTTTCATGTTTCTTGTGTTGTGATGCGTTGTGTGAAATGGAAGAGATGTGTCGGTTCTGCTGTTTCTTTCTAATTCATGCGCCCAAAACGAAATCAATACACAAATCGAATTCTTGTAAGATTTTTATTCAGTTCGTTCGGCACAGAGTTGTTTGGAATGGTTGTCATTTCAAATGTTTGAATTTGAAAGATTCTGGGTAGCATTCCGAATATTCATACAGTTGGTTTACACTGAAATTTCAGTCGATTTTGACGAAAAAATAAAGACTAAAAACGTTACATCTTTTAACGTTAAAAATGACTAAATTACATAATTACATAAATGTATGTTTTTCTTATTTAAAATCCAGAGAAAAATATGATGAATATTTTTGCATACGTGCAAGTAAAGATGTATGACTAATGTATGTATGGGTTATTTGATATGTCGAAGATTGTACACAAGTCTGATTCTTAGTGCACAACATGTATGTTCGGTATTTTAAAGTATCTACATGGGATGGCTGGAGATAAACATGGGTGACTGTGCCAACAAATTTATTTCAAACATTTTCAAATTGTGCTATAACGAGAAAAATGTGCAAATTTTCAGAAATGTGTTCCATTTTCACTATGAGCCATCTGTTCATTCTTACTGTTTTCCAATCTCGTCATTTTGTTACGATTGAGAGTCTGTGTGTGATTGCGAGTAAAAACAGAGCACTGTAAAAATCTCAATGGACCCAAAAAACAAATTCGGTGCGATTATCAACGACAGGGAAACAACACATTCCCTGTAAGTAATAGCGCACCGATGCAGCAAAATGTTTGGTGTAATACACAGAATAAAACAGAAGGAGACAAAAAGACAAAGTGATGGGCAAGTAGTGTAGGGCGAGCGAATTAAGGAAAAAAGAAATAACAAAGCATACATCTCTGTGTGTACATTTATCTGTTCGCCCTAATTCAATCCGCTTCAATTAAAGGTCCAATTATTCAATTACAATCGTCATACGAGACAACACGTCGCACGTTTACTGTATTGCTTACATACGTCTGTCTACTTGTTTATGTATGTTGACACAATGTACATTAAGATGCTTTGACTTATCTCCTTCGCATTTCCATTCATATTGTGATGTACGACAACAGCCACGAACCAATAAACAAACAAACAAACCAAAAAAATGATCGAGAAAAAATGCGACGCAAGGCGCAAGAAATATCATCATCGCTTGGTGTTAAATTCCTCATTAAATGTTGCTGTTGTCGAGAAAATGTGCAATTTGATAAGGCGTTGCAGGAAAAATCTGCCTTTCCTGCATAAATTGAGTGCTAATCAATTATTCTAAAATGAATATTGCGCGGGGGGGGGGTCGAATTGAACGAAAGAAAAAAATCATTGATTAAACCATACATTTGAAGCACATTGTTGATTGTGCCCTTCGATTGTCAATGACCTTTTCGAGTGTGCTCATCTTCCGCACTAGCTTATATTCCAATTAAAACTAACTAAGCATTAATTGAGAAATGATTAGAATCGACTTTTATTTTTATTTTTTTATTTCCCCCAAAAATAGAAAGTTGTGTATCGACAGCCTTTCAATGTAGAGACGGCACATGCCTACCACTGGCTTGGCGCTGTGATAATAAACGCGACTGTGAAGATGGATTTGATGAGGAAAATTGCGAGAAAACACGACAATGCAATAGCCAACAGTTTGAATGCTGGAAAACGTATGTAACTTTTGATCTGTCATTGTTTTCTCATTGTCTATTTTGAGTTTTTAGTTTAATGCTAGCTAACTTAGAAAATGGTAAAAACTCATGTGATCCATCATTTATTGGTGAAATTTTCTATAGGCGACGTTGCATACCGCGCGAATGGTTGTGCGATCATGATTTTGATTGTGGCCCATTTGACACATCTGATGAAGACGAATCATTGTGTCAGCTAAAGGGAAAATGTTTGCCAAATCAAAGCGAATGCGCTAGTCCCAGTGGCACCGGTCCAGTTTGTATCGATACCGAAAAATTTTGCGATGGACACTTCGACTGTGTTAATGATGAATATACTGAATACTGTGGTAAGCATTTAAATTAGGGTTTTGTGCTTAATTAGACACGTAGCACATACACCACATTCAATTCAGCTCCATATTTTCGAAAATTTGCCACGAAATTACCGTGTTTTCTTCCCCTTTTCTTTGTGTGATATTCGTTCATCAGATAATAGCACGTTAAAAGCCGATTGTGTTGCCTTGAATTGTTCGTCTGGATGCAAACCGACACCGCTCGGTGCAAAGTGCTACTGTAGTCGTGGCCAGCAGCCCAATGGAACTCAATGCGAAGGTTTGATTGTTTTTTTTTTCTCTGTACTTTTTGCGCGTTTAAATCAATCAAAAGATAGAGAGCTGCAAATGATATGCAAACGAAAGCAAAATAACCAGGCGATTCACTATCCCGTTATTTCTTTTTATTTTACGCTCTATTTACAGACATTGACGAATGTTTGACGACAGACAGCTGTGATCAAATATGTAAAAATATTCCCAATTCATTCGAATGCTCGTGTGTGGCTGGTTATGAATTAGTCAATAAAACAACTTGTAAGGCGATCAATTGTAAGTGGTTTTTTGCATTGTTATTGTATTCTTTTGTCTCTGTGTCTATATTTACCCCGTCCTGTATGTATCACTTGTTATTTGTGTTGCTATTTTAATTGACTACAATGATTTCTTGTCATTTTTTTTTCTTCTTTCTTTTAACATATATCCGCCTCTAGTAACTCTTTCTCTTTCGCTGCATATCCGTAAATAAAGTTTTTTTTTCTCTTATTTCTCTCGTAGATCCTGTAAACGAAACGGCTTCAATTATACTAATTACCGAAAATGATATTAAAAGAGTTTCATTTAGCGGCAACTCATTTAACAATAGTCAACAGTCTCTGGTGAGTTGATCAATGATTATGCATAAACGAGAAAACAATCCAATGTCTACGTTTTTATTGTCTATTCTTTTCCCCATTCCTAATGTATGATGCATAACTTGAAATTATGTTCTATTTTCATTGATCATTGGCGACATCGTTGGCGGCGGCGGCGGTACGGATGATGGTGGTTGACGTTGGAATTCAATTTATCAAGGCTAATATTCAAACGTTTGACATTTGGCATGCAAACCGAACAATCTGTGTGATAAATGGATCAAATAATGACAATCCCAAAGATCTAACATGTTTTAACGTTGACAATTTCAACGTATCATGGAAATTTCCAAAACCAGAAATCGTCACCAATTTAAATTGTAGGTATCCATATAATAGTCTCATTGAAAAGAGACAGAGACAGAGAGAAAGAGAGTCTCTTGTCAACTAGTATATTGGGCCAATTGGATTTTGTGTCACAGATGCCGATGATGTTGTTGATTTTGAGCTTTTTGAAATGTTTCGAGCATGAAGAGAGCGAAGATTTGTACAGATTATGACAATGGCATTTTTAGATTAACTTCAATATAAACGGATTTCAACAAGCCATGTTTCATTTCATTCATTGTTGAAATATACGTATTATTCCATTCATTGCACAGATTTTGATACAATAAATAGAAAATGGTCATGCATTGTATGATAAAATCTATTGAACAATTCATCATCACTGACAATCGACGGAAAAAGCCATTACGACAGCATCATTGGCTTCAGTTTTACTACACAGTAAACACAATGATTCTAGCAATGTTGAGATTTGACACTTGACTTTGTTTTAGTCCCATTTGCTCTAGAAAAAGTTCAAAAGTTCAAAAGTTCTGAAATAAATACATGAAGCTTTGATTTGTGATTCAGTACATTTTGAACTTTTTCTAGTACAAATGGTACTTAAATGGATTTTAGTGCTAAATTTCATATTGCGGTTCTAAAAGTTAGAACCAACGTGTTTACTGTGTATGTTACGATTTACATGTAAAATTGTATGAAACAATTTGCGGTTTTACTTGTAAAATGTGTCCAAATGAGCATGAAAAAGTGTTGAAACTAACGAAAAAAAAACTCTCAACAATTTTTATTCTCATTCGAAGCGATCGATATTTTGCGAATCGATTGGATTACCGGCAACTGGTATTTCGTGAATACCGAAAATGGCTTAATTGTACTATGCAATCCTCCGATGACGATTTGTACAATTGTCATCGAAATGCATGGTCAAAAGATTAACACGCTCGAATTGGATCCAATCAAAGGGTAATGAATCATCAATCAATGTGTTCTTTCTTTGCCAAAAATTAATCTTGTTTTTGGACACATTCTTTCTTGTGGTCAATAGATTTCTATTCTTCACGACGTCCGATACATTTGGCAGTTTACTTCGCGCGAATATGGATGGAAGCGAGTATACGATCATTGAATCGTATAAAATCTACTATCCGACCAGTTTGAAGTTGGATTTGGCCAATCAGCACATTTATTGGCTGGATAAATATATGGATTACATCGAACGCGTTGACTATGATGGCGAGAATCGATGGTCATTGAAGGCGTTTATTGGCAGTTCGATGCGACCAATGCATGCGATCGCGTTGTTTGAAAGTAATATTTACATCACGAAACGAACATCGCAACATTTGGAAATGTGGCGAATCAGTCGGCGCAATACGAGTTCAGCGGAAAAGATATTCGTAACCGACCAACAACCACTTGAGGTGCGAATTTTTCATGCACAAAGCCAACCAACTGCTCTAAACCCTTGTGCGGCCAACAAATCACTGAACTGTGGACATTTGTGCGTTTTGACCCGTGGAGTGGACAAAAAGCTGCAAGGTCAGTGCATATGCAGCGCCGGATATCAGTTGAAATCACAACACAATTGCGTTCTTGTTAAACAAACATCGTTTTTAATCTATGCCAAACAAAGTCCGACTATGATACGAGGCATCTCCATTTCCAATGAAACCGATGTTTCGGGCGCACAAGAATGCATGGTGCCCGTTTTGAATGTAAAGTGGCCATTGAGTCTGGACTATAATGTGAAGAAACAACACATTTACTTTGGACAAAATGATATGTAAGTTTGTTGTTTAGTTCGAAAAAAATATTCCTCTTTTTTTTTCTTAAGAATTAGACTTGAAAAATGGTGAATTTGGTGGAAAAATTTGATAATTTATTTTATTTTGTTTGACTCTTTTCGTTCTTTCTTCAGATCAAACAACGAGTTCCTAATCGAATCGCAAAATTTAGACGGCACCAATCGCACACTCATTCGACAAGGTCGTGGACACTGTCATAGCATCGCATATGATTGGGTGGGAAATAATATTTTCTGGGCGTCGTCAAGGAAAATTGATGTGTTTAGCTTATCGAATCCAAATATTACCAAAACACTTATTCACACACTTAATGCTGGGTTCGTATTATTCTTTCTTTCTTTTTTTTCAGAATAAAAAGTTGATTTTGATTCAATATTTATGATTATTTTTTCCCAACTCTTCAGATCGATTGCATTGGATCCAAAGCAAGGTCTATTGTACTGGTCGACCTGGGCATCGGAGAACACTATCGGCCAAATAATGGTGTCTTGGATGGATGGCACACATAAAAGCGTGTTCGTTGACATGTGTGTGGATCGAAACAAATGTACGAATATTGATTGGCCATCGAGCTTAACGATCGACTTTACCGATCGCAAGCTATACTGGTGCGATCCACGCATGCAAACCATCGAACGAATCGGATTGGATGGCAAAAATCGAGAAGTCGTCGTACAAACCAGTCACAGCGGAAACTTTTATCCATTCTCCGTGGCCAGTCACAATAGATACATATATTTTACGGATATATCCAGCGGAAATATCACAAAAGTCAATTTGAAAGATGCCAACAATCGAGAGTGAGTGCGATTGAATTTTATCATGTTTATATTTATAAAAAAATGAAAAGAATCAAAAGTTTCGATCTCAAAGATATGCTTCATGCGTTTTTCTTTTACTTCAGCAAAGATTTCCAAGCTAAAATAATATCATTTTTCTGCTTCATTTCCAGAAAATATACTCTATTGGCACAGGAAAATCGTCGAATAACTGACATCAAAATTTTCGATAATTTAACCCAATCGAATGCTGACATTTGTTATGACAAACCATGCCCCGGCCTCATGTTAGCCACGCCAAATGGATGCGTTTGTGTGTGCGGCAATGATTACGATTTGAATGCAAGCGGTACACAATGCTTGCGTCAAACGAAATCAGCGGTGAAAAATGAATGCGCTCCTGGTAAGAGTTCGAGAGTTAAAAGAAGAAACAATTGGCATGTTCAATTTCATTTGGATTTTTAAATCGTCCTTTTATCGAAAAAAAAAATAGGCATGTTCCAGTGTCGAAGTAGCGGCGAGTGTATCAACGAAACCAATTTGTGTGACGGTGATAGAGACTGTCCTTTGGGAGACCAGGATTATAGCGATGATGAATCGTTTGCCGACGATGGTCCGTGCAATGCCAAAAACAACTGCACTTTCAATGGTAAAACGAATATAATTTTCATTTTGACAAACACATTTCGATTCGAAAATTTGTCTCATTCAACAGATGAAAGTGGTTTCATATGTGATGAAAATCGATGTTTGCGCCAGCATGTCGTTTGTGATGGTTTGGTCCAATGCAAAGATGGTAGCGATGAACTACCGTCGCGATGTGCAGTCGTCTCGTGTCCACCCGACAAATTCCAGTGCAAACACTCGAAACAATGCATTCCGAAAAGCTTTTTGTGCGATGGAAATGCCGACTGTAAGCAACTCCACTTGTCAACTTTTCCAAAGATATTTATCAAATAGTATTGATTTACAGGTGATGACAAAAGCGACGAAATGGAAAACTGCACCGAATGTCCAGAGTTTCGATGCAAAAATGGCCTGTGCATTCTATACGAAAAAGTGTGCGATGGTAAAGTTCAATTAAATCGAAATACATTCAAAATCAATACAATACTAAATTTTGTTGATATTGATCATCATTCATTCATATTCATCTAAAATATAACTCTATTTGCCGCAGGTGTGAATCAATGCGGTGATTTCTTCGACGAAGAGCATTGTTCGTTTGAATGTAAAAAAGGCGAATATTTCTGCCATCCAAAAGGTTGTTTAACACCAGACAAATTGTGCGATGGCATTGTTGATTGCTACAATGCTTTCGATGAGGCCGGTTGTATCAATACGACGACCACACCAACACCAGACGACACAGAAAAAGTGCGCCAATCCAAGAAAAATCTAATGAAAACACATCACTGCGAGCCACATGAATTCCAATGCACAAATTGGAAAGAATGTGTTCCAATGGAGGTTCGATGCGATTCATATCAAGATTGCTTTGACAGGTACGTTTCTTTGGATAAAATGATTTGACCTTTGGATCTGTATAAACACAGAGTATGAAATTCTATCATTTCCTTCTCTTCAGGAGCGATGAATTGAATTGCACAACGGTTAAACCACGAACGCATAACTTTACATTCGGCGACATGGGATGCTCGCATCCGGATCGCGTGTGTCCCGTCACTGGCAATTGCATTCGCGTACATCAGCTGTGTGATGGAAAAACCGACTGCCCTGATGGTACGAATGATTGGAAAACTTGTCACTTTTTAGCAGGAATGTCTGCAAATGAACTTTCCTTTTTTTCCCACCTAATTTCCAGGTTCCGACGAAGGCTACAAATGTGTGGAAAAGCAATGTGATCAAAATTCGGAATGTTCACATTTTTGCCATAACGCTCCCGAAGGATTTGTATGCTCGTGCCCTTCATACATGTTCCTCAAACCAAACGGATTGGTTTGTAGTTCGGAGCACTCATGCTTGTCTTGGGGAACGTGTTCGCAGGTGTGCGTACAGGTTGGAAAGCGTCATAAATGCGGATGCCAAGATGGTTTTACCTTGCAATACGATCAATTCACGTGTCGTAGTAATAATCCGGATTCACCGTATGTCATATTCAGTAATCGCGAAGAAATTCGTGGTGTTGATCTGCGAACGTTGGCGGTGAAAAACTTCTATGCCTCTCTGCGCAATACGATTGCCATTGACTTTTTGTTGGACAACGGTACGATGCAAATATTTTGGACGGATGTTATCGATGATAAAATCTATCGTGGCACATTGACCGGTGATGTGATTCGAAGTATTGATGTGGTTGTTCACTCGGGGTTGTTGACGGCTGAAGGATTGGCCGTTGATTGGATTGGTCACAATTTGTATTGGGTCGATAGTAATTTGGATCAAATTGAAGTGGCTCAAATTAACGGATCATTTCGACGAACACTGATTGCTGGTGAGATTGATAGTCCACGTGCATTGGCCCTTGATCCACGCGAAGGCTGGCTATTTTGGACGGATTGGGACAAGAGTGATCCGCGTATTGAACGTTGCTCAATGGCTGGTGAACATCGTAAAACGATTATTCAAGTGGATAAATCCGTTGGCGGTTGGCCAAATGGCCTTACATTAGACTATGCTCAGAAACGAATTTATTATATTGACGCACATTCGGATTCAATTCATACCACCGACTATGATGGAAACAAACATCATTTGGTTATTCGAGACCAGGAAACGTTATCACATCCATTTAGCATATCGTTATTTGAAAATTATGTCTATTGGACGGATTGGAGGACGAATTCCGTGATGAGAGCCAACAAATGGAATGGATCGGATGTGACAACCGTTGATCGCACATCATCTCAACCGTTTGGTATTCAAATTTTACACTCAAGTCGACAACCACGCGAAGGACCCAGCCCTTGTGCTGAAAACAATGGCGGATGCTCACATTTATGCCTGTTGAGCGTTTCAAAAACATACAAATGCGAATGTCCACACGTGATGCAGCTAAGCGCCGACAATAAGACCTGCATACAAAATGAAGAGGTGCTACTGTTTTTGGTCGGTTCGGAAATTCGCGGTATCAATCCACAAACCAACCATTATATCATTCCGACGATTAGCCATGCAACACAGGTGCCTGAGTTAAATGTTATCGATTTTTTGTACGCTGACAGTCGATTGTTTTGGACCGATAAATCAGTCGACGAAATTCGAACATCCGGTTTGGCCAATGGCAATGCTGAAACCGTTTTGGATACTGATTTCACAAACATCGGTGGATTTGCCATTGATTTTATCGCTCGCAACATGTTCATTTCGACAGCAGGCCGGAATGGATTGTACAAGATTCGCGTTTGCAACATTAAGGGCGAATACATTGCTGATATTCTGACCAAATTATATGCAGTCAAATCAATTGCAATCGATCCGGCTAGGTAGGAATTTTTTTGGGTTTTCTTTCGATCTGCTTCTCTTTTAGAATTTCAATAAAATTGATTCTTTCCTTTATCGGTGATAACCATTACCATTGTTATCGTTTGATTTGGAATTTGAGAAGTATTCGTATGAACTTTGACAAATTTTAATTTTTTTTTTCACATTCAAAATGAAAATTCTCCAAGAATTTAATTCAATTTCTCCTAACATTTGTCCAATATCAATTTCTCATTCTATTTCCAGAGGAGCGTTGTACTTTTCACATGAAAACAGCAATGGTACTACGTTCATTGTTGAGAAATCGGCATTGGATGGTTCAAATCGTCAAATCCTTTTGAAAAGTTCGGCGCCCATCGGTAGTCTAACAACGGATCTTGAATGTAATCGTTTATACTTTGTGCGTAAGCAAACGGGTTCAGTTGAATATTTGGATTTAATATCATCAAGTGTTCATGAGGTTGTTCCCGCAGAAAAGTTAGTTCTTGGTTACAAAAAGATTGAAAGTATAACAATTTACAAAGATACGGTATACTTTGCGGAGACAACCGATGCCAAAATTGAGAAATGTGACAAAACAACGTGTGCGAATCGTACAATGGTGCGGCTGAACAAAGATATTGTGTATTCGTTGGCGGTATTCCATTCGGGTGCACAACAAGGCGAAAATGCATGTTCGACTAACAATGGTACAAAAAAGTGTGATCACCTATGTTTGGCCACCTCAAAGACGGCGTATGTTTGCAAGTGTGCTATTGGCTATAAAATTGATCCAACGAATGGTTCGAACAAATGTGTGGGTGAAAAAGAATTTATCCTGTATTCCATTGGCCATGAATTGCGCGGAGTTCGCCTGAACAATAGCAATATCAACGCAAACGAAACCGTGCTTGATGATCAATTGGAACACGTTCTTCCACCAATTCCACGCATCTCTTTGGCCACAAACATTGACTACCATCATCGATACGATTTACTGTTCTACGCTGACAGTGACAAGGGTGAAATAACAAGTATTAAACGCGATGGCACAAATCGTCAGATTATTGTCAATCAAACGGATCAATTTGATGCGAATGGCGGCGATTGGTTGAGTGGTATTGCAGTTGATTGGATCGGTGATAATATTTATTGGTGCGATGAAAAGCGTAATATCATCGAAGTCGCACGGTTGAATGGCACATTGCGTTATGTCGTCATTTCGTATGTTAATAAACCGAAGGCCGTTGCTGTTGATCCGATTGCCGGCTATCTATTTTTCATTGGCGGCGACAAAAAAGGTGAGTCAAAATTGCTATTTGAAAATTTTATGACTTTTTTTTAATGAAAGTTCATTCAACGAATCGATATACTCATCAAAATGGTTTCCCATTCACTGCACGTCTCCATCTTAAGTTAAAATAAAGAACTTAAGCCATTTTTATTACCAAAAACCATTCGATTTCCCTTCGTTTCAGGCACATATTTTATCGGTCGCGCCCGGCTGGATGGCAGCAACCACGTGATTTTATCGAATCAATCGACGCAACTCTCGAACCTCGTTTTGGATAAAACCAATCAGATTGTGTACTGGTGTGAGTCAGCGTCACGAACAATTTGGCGCAGCGACTACAGCGGTGAATTCAAATCGATTGTGCTTAATCAAACTATCGAAAATCCGGTGGCATTGTCCGTTTACGACTCAAAACTCTATTGGGCTGATAATTCGCATCAAAATGGTACGATAAAAGTGGCGCCCACCGAGGACTTGACGCAAATTCGAATGGTCTTAACGAGTTATGCAAATCCATTGAGCGATCTGAAAATATTCTCGGATAAGATTCAAACTGGCCAAAATCCATGTGCCGATTTAAATGGTGGTTGTGAAGAGCTTTGCTTATTCAATGGAACGCATCCGGTGTGTGCTTGTTCACATGGAGAAGTTGCTGCTGACGGCAAATCCTGTATACCGTTCGATGAATTCCTGATTTACTCGCGTGTCGTGTCCATTGAAAGCATTCATTTAACCAATAATCTCAATATGAACAGTCCAATTTTGAAGATTCAACACCCGAAACTATTGCGCAACACAATTGGATTGAGTTATAACTATGATCAGCGACGCATTTTCTACTCGGACGTACATTCAAGTTCCATCAATTGGGTGTACTTCAATGGCACCGATCATCAAATTCTCGTGAATAAACAAGTTTCGGTTGAAGGTTTGGTATACGATCCAGTAAGTAAACAACTTTTCTGGACATCAAATAGCGATGCATCGATTCGAACAATTGACACAACCAATTTGACCACGGATTATGAGAATAATTTCAATTTGGTGAAACAAGTGATACAATTGAATACACACGATAAACCACGTGGAATTGCCGTTGAATCATGCTTGGGTATGGTTTATTGGGCCAATTGGAATGCTGATGCTGCTTCAATTCAACGGTGTTACATCACCGGATATAATCTACAAAACATTATTACGACCGATATTCGAATGCCAAATGCGATCGCGATCGATTATGAAAATCATAAATTGTATTGGGCCGATGCTCGGCTGGATAAAATCGAACGGGCCGATTACGATGGATCGCATCGTGTTGTTTTAGCACATTCAACACCGAAACATCCATTCGCAATTACTGTGTACAAAAATTATCTCTATTTCACCGATTGGGTATTGCGTGCGGTTGTTCGAGTCAATAAATATTCGGGCGGTGATGTGACTTGGTTGCGAAAAGATATCGGTCGATTGATGGGCATTGTTGCCGTTCAAAATACTTCCTCCGATTGCGAGGCAAGCCCATGTTCCGTGCTGAATGGCGGCTGTGAAGACGCATGCGCCTTTGTAAACGGTAAAATCAAATGTGAATGCACGAGCGGTAGACTGGCTGCAGATGGTAAACGATGCATTCAGACGAGTCCACAGTGTCCGAGCGGACAGTTTAAATGCAAATCCAAGGAATGCATCCCATTCGAATTGACCTGCGATGGTATCAATCACTGTACCGATGGTGCCGATGAGAACATCGACTACTGCAACCTTCGACTCTGTCCGTCCAACTACTTCATGTGCAACAATCGGCGATGCATCCCAATGAACCACACTTGTGACGGTATTAAACATAAATGCTGAAAATTTGTACAGTTTATTACGGCTTCTTTTGTTTTTCCGAATTTCTGCCTTTCGATTGTTATTATATTTTTCTTGATTTTTCATTTCGAGTTTCAGTTACCGTAAAAAATAGCGACATATGTTCAGCAAAATTTTCACATTTTCTATCGACATTTTTGAAGGGGAAAAAAATGTGGCGAGTGAATTAATGGTTTGGATTTGTTTACGGTGTTACAGGTATTGAACATTGCCATGATGGCCATGATGAGGCGATCTGCGATTGTAATCAAAGCGAACATTTCAAGTGCGCATCGGGACAATGCATTGATAAAAGCTATTATTGTGATTCAGGTGAGTTGTTGGAGAAAAAGACGATGCTGATCATGATTTTGAGCTATGTTACGAAACGAATAATTTTCAGTTTTATTCTATGAACGGGATCATTCAAGTGATTTGATTTGAATAATTGAAAAAAGTCAAGAGATTTAATTTGTGCGTGTTACACGTAGGTCTATTGTTTTGGATATTGATTCGATGATCAAATTGTGCTTGGTTATTCCTCAGATCCTGATTGTCCGGATGGTAGCGATGAAGTGGATTGCCCGAATAAAGAATTAGCCTGCACTGGAATGCCTGGAATTTTGCTGAGATGCGGCAATACATCCACATGTTATATGGATTCATGGTAAGTTTCATCAATACAATTAGATGATGAATAATTTTCAATTTATTCCCAGTTTTCTAAAGATGATCGCATCAATTTCTTCGGTTAACATGCTAACAATTCATTTGATTTTTCGATAAAGGCGATGTGATGGTGAAAACGACTGTCCGTTGGGTGAAGATGAAATGGGTTGCCCAAATATCACATGTCCCGACAACAAATTTCAATGTAGAAACGGCCACTGTATTCACATTGCCTGGCGTTGCGGTTCGTTAATGTTATTTTATATTTGCCCCCAAAATTTCATGAAAATCAAACATTAACGCAATAAGAAATAGAAAAGAAAATAATTTAATTGAAAGCTAAAACCGAAAATTGAAAGTAAATATTACGAATTATTTTCGAATAGATGGAGACGAGGATTGTCCCGATGGTGATACATCCGACGAAGAAGATTGTCATGTGAACGGTACAAAGCTTGAATGTAAACCAAATTACTTCAGGTGTGCCGATGGTTCACTCTGTATTTCATCCACCTGGCAATGGTATGAACGTATCTTGGCTTTTGGAAGTAATACAAAAATACTAATATCATTTTGTGAAAATAGTGATCGAAGCAACGACTGTGTCGATGGCTCTGATGAAGGTGAACACTGTAAATCGCGCGAATGTGATCCAACAATGTTTCGTTGTGCAGAATCTGGTCGTTGCATACCGCAGTTGTGGGTATGTGACGGAGATCGCGATTGTGCTTTGACTGGCGAAGATGGTAAGATTCGGTTACTCATATTTGGTTACTCATTTCAATCATTCTCAATCCTTGACTCTAATTTATTTTTTACTCACAAAGAAATGAATTGTACTTCAACAAATTGCCCCGAAAATATGTTCGCATGCGGAAGTCATGAGTGTATTGAATATGTTTATTTTTGCGATGGATCAACTGGTAACTATGGCAATTTATCATCATTGATTGAAAGCGATTTTTTTCTTAACTTCATCCTTTTTGGTTCGACATAGATTGTGCGGACGGTAGCGATGAACCAGTTGGATGTGTTGACTCTACATTGAAGCGACCATCAAAATGTAGCGGCGATAATTGTAACACTATGAATTCAACATCGGCAATTTGTGCTTCACCGGAATTTTATCGTTGTGGTATGACCAATTTTCATAATCTGATTTTTGAACATTTCATTTTACTCGTTTTTTTTCAAGCATTTTAATGCTTTTTATTCAGGGCCGTAGCCAGGATTTTTGCCAGGAAAGGGTGGTTCCACTTTACCAAGTGATAGCTTGCCCCAAAAAAACAACTATTTCGAAAAAAAATTTGGGGGTGCTCTTGGAAGTTTACGGAGTTATGGCGGAAAGGCCAAAAATCACGAAAAATCACGAAAAATAAAAGTGGTCCGATTTCGATGAAAATTGGTACACGGGATAAGTGAGAAAATATAAGAACTTTGGCACTAAAACTGATCCGAACTGGTCCAAAATGTCAAAATACCAATTTTCATCGAAATCGGACCACTTTGATTTTTCGTGATTTTTGGCCTTTTTGCCCCATAACTCCGTAAACTTCCAAGAGCACCCCCAAATTTTTTTTCGAAATAGTTGTTTTTTTGGGGCAAGCTATCACTTGGTAAAGTGGAACCACCCTTTCCTGGCAAAAATCCTGGCTACGGCCCTGTTTTTATTCAAATTTATAACCAACTAAATTCACTTAAATTTCCGTAGCAAATGGAGCATGCGTACCTGAATCGGCGCTGTGCAATGGCGAAATGGGTAAGTGTGTCCGTCCGTTCTACAATCAAATTATACATTTTACCGGTGTTTCATTCAATCTCCTTTCCCTCTTCTATCCATCATTCTCTGTACCTAGACTGCGGTCCAAACGATTTCAGTGATGAGGAGCTGTGCAATATCAATGAATGTGAACATTCGAGTGAACCGTTATGCGCGCACATCTGTGAGGATCGTAAAATTGGCTACGAATGTTCGTGCAATGCAGGCTTTAAAATCAGTCATAAGCAAAAGAATTTATGTGAAGACATAAACGAGTGTGTTGATCGTCCGTGCAGTCAAATTTGTACAAATACATACGGCAGCTACCATTGTTCATGTGTTGATGGGTATGCGCTAAAGGAGAAGCACATTTGCAAAGCGGTCACCACCGAACAAGTCAAGTTGATATTTTCGAATCGATATTACTTACGTGAAACCGATTTGCATGGCCATTCTACACTGATAGCACACAATTTAACCAATGCCGTCGGATTGGATTACGATTACCAAACAAAGTGTTACTACTGGTCGGATGTAACATTGACCATAAGCAAAATAAAGCGAATGTGTCCATGGGATAATAAAACGGTTGAAATCCATCAGAACAATCTTCGAAATCCGGACGGACTGGCGGTTGATTGGATCGGAAAGAATTTGTATTGGTGCGATAAAGGATTGGACACAATTGAAGTGTCGAAATTGGATGGAAAATATCGTAAAGTTTTGATACAGAAAGACTTGCAAGAGCCGCGTGCAATTGCCATTGATCCGTTTGAACGAAACATCTACTGGAGTGACTGGGGCGATCGGCCGCACATTGGAAAGGCTGGATTGGATGGTTCAAACCAACGGATAATCGTTGATGATGGTCTTGGCTGGCCCAATGCACTCACCATCAATTTCGAGACGAAAGAACTGTTTTGGGGCGATGCACGTGAAGATTTTATTGCCGTCTGTGATTTCGATGGTGGAAATAGAAAGATCATTTTAAGCCGTGAACGAAATCCAATGCTAAATTTGCATCACATTTTTGCGATTGCCGTGTGGGAAGATCGAATTTATTGGACCGATTGGGAAACGAAAACCATTGAATCGTGTCACAAAGATCGAGGCGACAACTGTACCACTTTATTGACCACAATCCATCGACCGATGGACATTCGAGTGTTTCATTCGTATCGGCAACGTCCAGTCGATGTGAACCCATGCCAAACGGCTGGCTGCGAAACACTTTGTCTGTTGTCACCAGATCCGCCTTATTATAGATGCGAATGTCCCGATAAATTTTATTTACATCCAGACAATAAAACATGCATCGCCAATTGTTCGTCGGCTGAATTTCAATGTGCTACCACCAAAAAATGTGTACCATTCTATTGGCTATGTGACACTCAGGTGCGTATTGTTTTGCAGAAGAATGTAAATAATCAGAATCGGTTCATTCCTACTTCATTTTAATGAATATGAATCTATCTAATTATAATATTGTCTTTCTTTGTCACTTTTCAACCAACAGGACGACTGCGGAGACAACTCAGATGAGCCACAATCATGCAGAGACTTTAAGTGTGAACCAGGCCAATTCCAGTGCAAAAACAACAAATGCATTGATCCGATAGAAATTTGTGACGGTCAAAATCAATGTGGCGACAATTCGGAAGAGAGTGCCGATTGCGATCGATTCGTCTGTTTTGAGAAACACTTTAAATGCAGCACATCAGCCAATCGAACAGCATTCTGCATTAAGAACACGCAACGATGCGATGGGATACAGGTAATTGGTTTTACAAATTTGCTTCTTTTTTTTTTGTATTTCTAGACGAAAAATAAAATGAATCCATTTCATTTTCTTCCTTAGGATTGCCCAAACAACGAAGATGAATCAGACTGTATACATCGCGAGTGCACAAAAGATAAATTCAAATGTGGTGACGGAAAATGTATTCCCCGAGTTTGGGTGTGTGATGGTAAGTCGCATATACGAAGATACAATTTTATTATGCTTAAATTGTTCATTACAATGAACGTCAATGGATTTTAATGTGAAAATTTCACAAATGGATTTTAATTTGAAATTGTAATGTCTTTTCTTATCGCTTCAGGTGATAGCGATTGTTCTGCAAATGAGGATGAACTGAATTGCGATGCTCGCAACTGCTCTGACAAAGAATTCAGGTAGATGTTAAAACCTTTCATCCAAATATTCCATCCGTAGCGATAATTGTCGGAATTTCTCTGGACAAAATCAATTTTCATGAATGTTTATTTACCTAAAACTGGTCGTTTAATGTCATTTCAAATTTCTTAGGTGTAATTCCGGACGTTGCATACCAAGGTCATGGTTTTGTGATGGTGAAATCGATTGTCCAACGAAAGAGGATGAGCCACCTTCTTGTACGGCCCAAGATAGAAAATGCAGCGATCCAGACCATTTCAGATGCAACAACGGTAAATGTATACCAAAGCGATGGCGCTGTGATTATGATTACGGTAAGAGAATGTGCAGATGTTCGAGCTTAGTGCAGATTAAAACAACGATTATTTCTTATTAGATTGTTCCGATAAAAGTGATGAGCTTAATTGCACGATGCGCAATTGCTCAGAGTCTGAATTTAGGTAAGTTTTGTCGCAAAATTAATATAAATCACAATTTCATGGTTACTTGGTTTTATTCATCAAATATATTTGAGCTATAACTTAAGCTTTTTCCCCATTTTGTATACGATCAATTCAATTTTATTTGATGGAATGCATTTTATGTAAAAATGTATAAAACCAATTGTGTTTTGTCACATTAGATGCGCAAATGGGCGTTGCATAGCAGGACGTTTGCAGTGCAATGGAGAATATAACTGTGTCGACTTCAGTGACGAAGATCATTGCAACATAACCTGTGCGGCTGACGAATTTAAATGTCCAGGGCATAATTTCTGCATTCCAAACCTTTGGGTTTGTGACGGTGAGGAATTTATATTTTGACAATGCAATTCAAATTGAATCTTCTTCGATATAGAGAAGAAAAAGGGAGGTTAATCGAAGAGTGTTTAGTTCAGTTTTAGTTAAAATGGAATTTTAATGGTGAATGAATCAATTAATGTGAATAAACCTTTTCAGGTGACAATGATTGTGGAAATGGAGCGGACGAAGTGAATTGTACATGTAATCAGAATCAATTTCAATGCGAAGATGGTCGGTGTATCGAAAGTCGATGGCGTTGTGGTTAGTAATGAAGCTTGCGATATCAAATTTGTTTTTAAATCTCGCTAAAAATCAATATCCATGTGTTTCAGACGGATGGAACGATTGCTTTGATGGATCGGATGAATCGATCGAATTGTGTACTGGTGAGTAGACCAAAGCCTTGAAACAGTTATATTTTGCATACAAACGCAAATAAAACTCCTTGTTTTTTCACTAGAACTTCCATGTGGTCAGAATGCTTTCCGTTGCCGTAACAAGCGTTGCATTCGAAAGTCAGCAGTGTGCGACGGAGTAAACGATTGTGGCCTCGATGATGATTCCGATGAAAAATCATGTTCACTCTACCGCAAATGCACAGCCAAGCAATTCCAATGCGAAAGTGATCAGTTTTGCATTTCAAAGCAGTTTCATTGTGACGGCCAACCGCACTGCGAAGATGGTTCCGATGAAATCAATTGCAAAGAACCGGTGTGTGGCTTCAGTGCATGTAGTCAGATTTGCTTGGAGAAGAACAAATCTAAACAGCAAATGACCAATTTCAATTGCCGTTGTGCCGACGGTTATACAAAGGGAAAGGATAAGAATGACACTTGCTCATCGAGTGATGAGCCATTGTTGTTGATTGCATCGGATCGAGATCTACGATTTTTGTTGCCACTCAAGCAAATGGATAGCGAAGTGCATGGCCGAATCCCAGTGTCAAAAAGTAAAATTGATGTCTTCGACGTACGAATATTGCCCGATATTATCTATTTGTACTGGATCACCACGCCGAATAGAAGCATACAGAAATTGGCTACCACTACATTCAACAGTAATTTCAAGCGAAAAACAAAACGAGCTGCTGAACAAGAGGCAATCACAATTGTAAGTGTCGAACGGGAGATCAAGTAAAGACGATGAATATTCTATTCTTTGCCATAAACATAGAAAATAGCTCATTCTTATATGAATAAAATTGGATTCAATTTTCTCTTTTCATGTATTCAGGTCACCTCATTGCAGAATCCGAAATCGTTGGCAATCGATTGGATTGGTGAACGTATTTACATTTTAGATGGCGGCAACCATCAAGTAGTTTCAACGGATTTGAATGGTAGCAATCAGGTGACGCTGGTTACATCAAGTGGTCCACCGATAGACATTGTAGTTGACCCAAGCTCACGAATGATCTACTGGTCAACACTTGACCATGGCATTTTATCTGCATCAATGGATGGCGCCGATAAAAAGGTTCTTGTTGATCGAGGAATCGAATGGGCCACCGGTCTAACGATTGATCACCCAGCACAACGGCTGTATTGGGCCGATCAACGCAAAGGCACCGTTGAAACTGTACTGCTGAACGGCAAGAGTCGACATGTTGTCACACAGTTTAAAAACCGAAGTGAGTTTGTTTGGTATTCTTCATGGTATTTTCAATGGCTCAATTACTAATTAATACGAATTCACCATTCAGCTATGTTACCAAAACGTGTACAAGTATTCGAAGACACGCTTTACATCACTTTGTACGATCAAACAATCTACCGAATAAATAAGTTTGGGCACAACAAAGGTGAAGTCTTGGTTGAAAGTTTCCAGCGTGCTTCCGATTTGTTTGTATTACATCCGCTCCGGCAGGACTCAAAGAGTATGATTTTTTTTTTCCAATCGAAAAATGAATATAATTTTTCATTCGATTCAATCAATATCTAATGTTCTTCTTCTTCGAACATTTCCAGTTCCAAATCCGTGTCAGAAGAATCCCTGTTCGGATCAGCATGTTTGTTTGCTTTCGTCATCCGATCCTTTTGGTCGAAGCTGCAAATGTCCCGATCGATTAGCAGGAGTGAACGATCACGACGATGCTAAATCGATGTGCCAAACGCCGCAGAGCAGTGTGAATGAAACGTGCCCACTGCAATGCAACCAGGGTCTTTGTAAATATGTCAACGGTCAACCGAAATGTAAATGTCCAAATGATTATGACGGTGAATTTTGTGAGCATTATCGCTGTTCTGGCTACTGTAAAAATCGAGGTGTATGCTACGTAGACGCGTCCAAAGTTAAAGTATACAGTGATTCAAGGCCACCATTAAAATGCCGGTGTCCAAAATCATGGACTGGTGACCGTTGTGAAACACCAGTTGCTAATTGTACATCACCATGTTACAATGGTGTGTGTACGGGTAAATTCGGTGATTGCACATGCAAAACTGGATTTACTGGTCAAGATTGTCGCGATTGTGATGAACTGCACTGTGAGAACAACGGAATTTGCCGGAAGAACGAACTTGGCAAAGCACAATGCGAATGCACAAAAGATTTCAAGGGGATTCGATGCGAAAATAGCCCATGCGAAGGTTTCTGTAGCGGCCATGGCCAATGTGTCATTCATGATGGCAGCGTGAGTTGTGAGTGTGACGTTGGCTATTGGGGAAAGCAATGCGAACTGGAGGAATGCACTGATTATTGTCTCAATGGTGGTACATGCAGCATAAGCCAGGAAAATGAGAAAATCTGCACATGTTTAGCGAATTATTCGGGCAAACGGTGCGAAAAATATCAAGAGACCGAACAAGCGTCCAGTGATTGCAACAATTTCCAATGTGAACATGGTGGTACTTGTCATGTCATCAAGAATCTAGCATACTGTAACTGTACGGCACAGTTTGCTGGTCCAATTTGTCGGGTAGGTTTGATTGGTTATTTGTTCATTTAGATTGGAAATACAAGTGCTTGGCTTTCTTTTCAAATTGCATCAAAATCAAATCGCACTGTTTAATCAATTTATCCTTTTTCTGATTGAAACAGACATTCGTGGGCTCAAATAATCCATGCGTTGATTATTGCGAGAATGGCGGCATATGCCAAATGGACTCACAACAATATCCAATATGTATATGCACCGGTGAATGGACTGGTAGTAAGTGTGAAACTCCACCAGCATGTCAAGGATTTTGTGGTAATTGCATTCATGACAGTTCAATCAATGAATGCTTGTAAGTATTTTCATTCCATCGTTCGATTTCGTTTGATCAATTTTCGGTATTTGGCACAAAAAAGACGTTGCGAGAATTTAATCCATTGTTTTCATTTGTTACAGGTGCACCGATGGAACAGTGAAACCGTGCGTATCTTCAAAATCGTATGCAGCAGAGGATTCAATAGATAGAGTTGGTGTTGCCAGTATTGTGTTTATGATAATAATTCTCATTTTGCTGTTAACTGCTCTGTTTGGTGGTGCATTGTACATTTTAAGGTAATTGACTTGAGTTCGCCCATTTTTCGATTCTTCTCTTACCTTTTTTTCACGTTTTATTCGCACAATGGGATATTATATCGCACTCAATGCTTTTTTCCATTGCAATTTATCGCAACTCTTGCATAAAAGAAAATTGTTAATTAAAATTCTAATGTGTAAATTCGTCTTTACTTGATTAATATCTAATGTCAAATGTGAATCTCTTTTAGAAAACGTCGAATTTGCCAACCATTCTCACATGCTCGGCTAAATGAATGCGTTGAAATGACGAACCCAATATATAATCCAATGGGTGATTTAGATGACACCCCAGCCTTCATTCAAACAGATGAAACAAAGGTGAGTTTTGAAATTGGATATGAATACGAAATATCACTTTGGATTAATTGCAATAGAGAATTTATTTTTCTACAAATAAAATTTGTATGGAGTTGCATTCAATCAATTAAACGATATATTCTTTTTTTCATCAAATTACAGAGTCGTTTCACGAACCCAGTGTATGAGTCAATGTACGCTGATTCATCTGAACCAGGGCTTCTAAACAATGGCAATGGATTGGTCGATATCAGCGGTGGCAATAACATTGAGAGTATCTCAAATTCGGTGCTTGAAGAAAAAACTGGTCTATTACAATGCGACGAGCCACAATTGCAAGATCTACTCTGATAGTTAATCGATAGCATTTGCGAGTGATTGGAGTCGTCCCATGTGCTCAAAGAAAATGATATAGAAAAACAATGAGACTTACACAAATGCTCTTCCAAATAAAACAAAAAAAAAACGAAATCTGCTTTTTCGTTGATTCATCAATCAGTTGTATACAGCATCAGGTCTTTTACCAGATGAAACAATGTTCAAAACTATACAGTATAAGATGCTCACATTCATTACGCTTTGCACAGATTTTTGTTTTGTAAATCTTTTTAATCAATAATTCGATGTGGTGAGATTGAGAGTATGTTTTTTGATGAATAATATTTTGATAAAGTAGAGTGTGTTTCAATCGGAGTTCTGGTGATTTTTAGCTCAAAGACAACAAATATCGAATTGATGCCTTCGCATAAATGGTGAATCTTGTCAAACTGTACAATTTTGCGAAAGATAGTTGTTGTATATCTGTTGAAATAAATGGATTATTTCAAGATTTGTTCACCGCTTCAAAGCATTGTCTACGTATTCCAATTCAAAGTCTATGAAACATACACCACTCTCAATCTCACCTATTGAATTGAAAATCTTCAGTGTTTGTTGTGCGTTATTGCAATGAAATGCCATATTTTAACATTATCTTATTGTTACAAATCATTTCAAGATTTTACAGCACCAATTTTTATTCCATTTTTATAATTGACAATAGTCGAATTTCCTTTTTAAACAATAACTATATACTCAAATGATACATGACTATGTACAACAAACATTGGCGAAGCTTTGATTTCGGTGGCATTTACCAATTTATTTACATGCAAACAATCGTCACAAATGCACAACACTTTCAATGTGTTTTCAACCAGATTTTTTTTTTCATATTTGCTGAACGCTTTCTTTATGACTGGGCGTCACGATATTACTGTCAGTCTACTTTCCATTTGAAAATTGTGTAAATTGTTTTTTTTTTTTCAAATTGCGAAATATATGCGATTCGCATGAGATTCAATTTAATTTCTGGATAATACAGAGTTGAAATAAAGTTAAAATCAATGGTAGCTTCTAAAAATCTACATGACAATTAATACACAAAAAATATGAAGAAAAAAAAGAAAAAAGAAATATTAAGAAATTCTCAACAAAAACAAAGACAAAAAATGAACAAAATAAGCCACTTAGTGCCAGCAACATACACAGAACCAATGATTTAAATATTGTAATACAACGTATTTAGGTATTTATAATTAGATTGTATCGACGTAAGATATTGTTTTGAGTAGATTCTTCATTGCGCTGAAGTTAATTGGATAATAAAAGCTTGTGCCCTTTGAAACACACCTAAGACGAACGCCACCGCGCTAAATGGAAACGACGTTCTTTGCAAATATTTTTTCTAGAATATTATCAGTTTTGTAATGTGAACGAAAAATGAATGAAATAATAGAAACAGGCAAAGTAGAATCATCTCATTTTTGACGAAAATTATCGGTTAGCTTTTACGTTTATATTTGTACAGCTAAAATAAATAAAATAGAAAATAGATTTGGTTTCGTTTCTTTCGACAAAATAGATTTTAGGTTTTCAGAGAATTTTTCGATTTGAATGAGGCTCAACTAAAGCTAAATTCCTGGCTGAAAAATCTTCCATGATAATAGAATGACCGCGAATTGGATAAAATAAACGACTGATTGCTCTCGTAGAATACAAGGCAAGGGAGTTAGTTTTTGCGATATAACTCTGCAACGGATCAAGATATCGGAAATCACAACATCGAATTTCAAAATTCTGGCTTGAAAATTTATTGGTAGCTTTATGACGTTGAAACACGATTCTCAACCAATTTTCAGCGATATCTCGTGTGAGCAAATTGAATTTTCACTAAATATGTCACCTAGCATGGAACAAGTGAAGAAGTTTTCTCAATCACACTGAATTAGAGGCAACACAACCATAAAATGAGCTACTAGAGCAATACAATCTCGCCCGGTTTATTCAAAATTCGCGCTAGATTTGCTGCTGACAAAATGTCAAACGAGAATTTGTGCAAAGCATTTGTCAAAACAGCTTCACACATAAAATCACAAGCTGATAACAACAATTTAAATTCTGAATTACATACACACCACTTGCAGCGGGCGTAATTGCACATTCAAGTCAATAAATCGCAGATGTGATTTCATTCATCTCTGAAATTGAATCAAACTCAATTCGTTCGACAAAGATAGAATTTTCCTTCAAATTTATATTGATTTTTGAACAAAAAACAAATCCATAAAAAGAGTTTCCACAGCAAATCAACCGCACAATAATTTAAGCATAAAATTCAATTCCATGCGGTGTGAATTATCGATCAAAAAAATTCACATTGGAATGCAGTGGCATTGGGTGTCACATTGGTTGTGAAGAAAATTGATTTGAAATTTAAATAGAATCAAGTAAGAATTGCAATGGGATTTCGGTGTGAGAGGTGGGAACAAGGTAAGAGAGGGAGCAGAGAGACAATGAAGCACATACGAGCGGAATGATTAAGTTACATGTGTTATACATGTTGCCTGTTTATAAATAAACAACGAACTGATTACATTCTTCTCTATTTTTCACATGCATAATTTTTTGTTACGCTTCTGTATCGGTGTTTCACCGCAAAATAAATGCGTTTAGGCCGTTTTTGAGTAGCAACGACGATGACGACGACAACGACAGCGGTGGCGGCATTGTTTATGATCATTTTCAACAACAAACAATATTCCTTGTGGAAAGATAAGGAGAGAATTCACTGAACACCAAAATGGCAAAAATGATATAGAAGAAAAAGAAAAAGAAAAACAAAAAACGATGACGACGATGGAGAGAGAGAAGAACGAGAGCATAAAATGTGCAGAGATAATTTAATGGATTATATTCATTGAATGCATAATATAACGTATGTTTTATATGCTGTTTTTATACGGTACATCCCATGATTCGCAAACACTGAATTACATTTCCAATTTCTTGCCGTGCAAAACACACACACACACATTTTTTTCTTCCGACATCTAGTCGTTGTTGTTGTAGTTGTTGTTTTTTATTTTCCATTTGCTCCATGTTATGACGACGATTTATTCACTTTACATGTAGGATTGCTTTGTTTATGGGTTTTCAAGTTGCTCATCGCTTACGGTTTACGAAACATTTACATATATTTTTTTTTCATTCTTTTTCGCTTGCGGAACTGTTTTGCTGCCGTTTGCATATTTTTTGCTCGCTCTTGTTTTCGTGTGCGATTTGTTGTTGTTGCTTGAAAAGAATTACGGGGTTGTTTCACTTTGGAGTTGGTGCGTTTATGCACCTTTTCCATCTCTTTCTCTTTTCACTTTGTAATCGCGTGCGCCTCATATCGAATGAAAGTGTTTGTGACATTCGCATTTCGCGCGGCCACACTCACACCACCCATTTATCATAGCTATTGCTCACTTTGCCACGACTTACTTGTCGTAAGTTGATTTAAAGAGTGAAAATATCGGCGCGTTTTTTCCACTTCTCGCGATAAACCATTTATTATTTGCGAACGTTTGCGGATACATCAAGATTCAAATATCTTGGTGTGGGAAAAAGAGACACGGAGAGAGAGAGATGTTCCTTTTTTCCACTGTGACTCGAACAATGGTGGTAAAACCACACACACACACACACACTTAAATTAAATTTTAAGCCAATTTACAACGGTAAAAGTATGAATGATGTGCGTGCATTATTCATTTTTCATATTTTGGTGGTGCAAATTTGTATGTTTGCGATTGTTGCTCCATGCGATTTTTGAGCGGATTGGGAAATTTGTACCAAAACAAAGAAAATACTTGTTTTTCCATGAGTAAGAAATGGATTTTTTGGACTTTTTGAACTGTTGTGAGGTCAAAATTGTAATGATTGGTGCAGCGTGAAACGTTCAAATGGCCGAAAGAGTTAAGGCCGTGTCTGAGAAAGTCGATTCGATCATTAATTCACGTCAATCGAAAAGTGGGAAATCTAAATGGTATACTTTGATATGTTGGTGTGAAGGAAACATTTTGGGCTCTTTTCGGGCGAAGACATCGGGCGAAGACAGACAAAGAGGGATGGAGATACACACAAATGAGAGCGAGTGAGAGAGATAGGGAAATAGAAAAAGAAACGAAGAAAAATAGAGCGACAAAAATGGAAGTAGAGAGAGAGAGAGAGAGGGTGAGAGCGGTAAGTAGTTAAAAAGAAGAAAAAGAGAGAGAGAGAGAGAGAGAGAGAACGAGAGTTGAAAAAAGGAAGAGTAAATTGAGAGAGTATCACAAATAAAGTAATTTCGTATTTTCCTATTCATTCCTATCCTTTGTTGTATTGCATAAGCAATTCGATCCACGAATCCATTTGCATTACATCGTCGGCAATTAAAATTCCCATTCAAAGTATAAACCACGTGGCCACGTCACTATTTTGCTCTAATCGTATACAGTTATTGTAATTCCATTCAGAAGCACATTGGTCCAGTGAATGTTACAACGTGAAAAAAATGAAACAAATTACACTTCACTGTGTCTAATACTCTCAATGAATTTTAAGTACGATAAAATGAATAAATATTGTTTCGGTGGATGCATGAGAAAAAAGTAGACAGCAAAAATGAAATATATCCTAATGTTTTTTTATTGTCGAAATGAGCGAAAAATGTTAGATAAAAAAAAGCACCAGCAGCAACAGCAGCAGCAGCAGCGGCAACAACAAGATGGTACAAAATGGCAAGGAAGAAAAATTAGAGAGAAGTTTCTGTTGGAAAGTAGTTGGAGAGCGTTGCATCTCAGGGGAATATTGTGGGTTGAGCGGTTGAGAAGAAAACGCATAATATTGCGTATGAAATTTTTTTTCCTACTTTTCATCATTCTCTCGATTGAAAAAAGTAACCACAACAACAACAGCCGCCACATCACAGTCTCTGTGCAACAATGTCAATTGCTTGAGCCCATGCAATGTTTTCCATTTTTTTCTCCTTCTTTATTATGCACAACAATACACAATGTGTACGGTATACATAATGGATTTGACTGGACCACCGTATTCACTGATTCGAATTCGTATAAATGTCGACAACAACAACAAGAAAAATGGAAGAAAAATGATGTAGGTTTCGAAAAATTCTATTTCCAACCGACAGAGATAAGAGAGAGACACCGAAAAAAAAAAACGAAATTCATGATCATGAAAATCGTTCACCACATAACTACCAGATAAATTGTAGAAAATTGCAATGAATTGGGCAACAACAATAATTTTTATTTTGTTTGGGTTTTTTTTTCATCTTCTTTTCTCCAACACAACAGATTTCGATTTCTTTGCACGCAATCTGGTTTTATTTTATCACGCCGTACTTGCTTCGAATCCATAAGCACAGTGTCTTGAAGAAACAATACGACACGATGGAAAACTATATATGTACGTGTTTTTATCATGGGATTTCAAACCAAGTCATTCGTTTTTTTTTTCTGTATCACATTTATTGCACTTTAAAAACCTTGTGTGGCTTTGGACATCGACCAATCTATCTTATTCGTAAAATTAAAAATCACACTCGTTTTCGAATGGCACACAATTTCATTGCCGCTCCGGCAGAAAGAAAAGAAAACAAAAAAAAAGAGAGAGAGAGAGAACAAGTTGGAGAAAAAGAAGACACGAAAAATATGAAGAATCGAGGTGTACGCTTGAAAAAATTCTATTATATTTTCGACAGCCACCAAATTGGCCCAAAAGTAATTGCGATACTTAAATTTGGTTTCTTATTCAATCATTAGCACATCTTTAAACCGAGTCACACCGGACAATGGGCCGCGGTGCGATTGCTAAAATAATTGTAGTAAACTACAATTGGCAGAGATTGTCACCAGATTTTGGCGTTTCTAATCAAAATAAACTACAGACAAAAAGAAGAAAGAAAGAAAGCAACCACAGGCAGTGCATAAGCAAAATTCAAAACCATCTGAAAATAATCAAAATGTCTAAACAATCAAAGACTTGCCACTTGCCGGTTAGCATCCGTATGATGGCAGCCAATTATGCTGTCGAATAACAAAAGAATATGTGCACCCAATTTGACCTCTTGTCTCTTGTATTTGCGCAAAAGTTGTCTCATGTTGTTCTTTTTCACCATTTGGTGAATGCGAATGGACACGGGAGGGTTGTGACGAATCAATGAAACAATGTATTATTCAACAAATGTACGATCTATCTTTGCTTCGGACTACACTCATTCACCGGCCACATATATCTTCTCAGCTTGATTGTTCATATTGAAAATTCGTTTTGATAAATTTATTGTCAGCGTAGGCGAGGTGACCAGCGAAAGGGAATGAAAGAATGAGTGGAAGAATAACGGAGAGTAAGAACAAGGAGATGCTGAGCACAGAACATTCACTAATAACATTGAATAAAGGATTGCAGTCACGTTTAGCCCCCGCCACCTCATCTGAAATGCTATGGGAATTGATTTTTATTGGTAACAATCTACCATTTGTGCAAAGCCAATATGAGACATGTGTGTGTGTGTGGGTGTATGTGGATTTGTTTTTGATTAGAATTTCGGTTGTTGCGTTTGATGTGCATAAGTGCGTGTGTCATAACTTTTAATGTGTGTCATACATTTTAATATGTGTAATGTGCGTTTGAACCCTGACATAATTGTTACATCATTGTTTGTTGAAATATCCAATCGAGAGTGTCGTCGTCGTCGTCCTTCGTTGTCAGCAGATTTTTTTTTTGAACACGAATCGAAAACTTTTGCAAACAAAATCGTTCCATAATCATCGGACTTTCATTTTTCTTCGTCACAAAAACGGACGAAAACTTCCAATATTTGACATGCTTCGCTGATATTTACATAGAAACTACCGACGCTCGAATATAACACAATCAATGTCCATTCATAAATGTATGAACGGATGAAAGCAATACTGGGATCGTAGAAACGTGTACACAGATATGCCCAGGAAAAAAATCGTTTCGGTTAGCAATTCGTTTGCTAGAATTTTGCGGTGATACGCTTTAGAGATTTGTTTGTTTGCTTTTTTCTTTCAGAAAATATACTTCTATATTTCTATGGGTGAGATTGAGAGTGGTGTATGTTTCACAGACATTGTATTGGAAAAAGTAAAGTATGTTATCAAGCGTTGAGCAAATCTTCAAATAATTTATTTATTTCAACGGATATACTATACAATACAGTGTGCCCTTGGAAATTAAAAGTAGTTTGTCGCTCGAGCAATGCAATAATTTGTTGTTGTTGGTCGAACCTTAAAATTCTGAATACGTTCAGCCCAATCGACGTGTTTTCGTGGTCGTAAAGCAGAGAAGTATTTGTAATCCTTTGGAAACGGAAATTGATCATACGTTGCCGGATCGATTTAAACACGAACAATCCCAGCAGCACCATGACACGGACCGGGCTTACAACTATTTGGATTTTGTCACTTCGCTAAATATGATTGACATTGTAGATTTCAAAAGATGACACAAAATGTTGATTGGCCAATGGCTGTTTGACAACTGTCGCCTTTCACCAAATCGTCTCAGTTTATCTAGAAGAAATACAATGTCCAAGCACATCGGTTACATGTTTCACACAATGTTTGATATGCTTCGCAAGCGAGTGGCCCATGTGCTAGAGTTTTCTTGTCTAACACGACCGCATTGTAAATATAAAAACAAAATTTTACTACGTATACAAACAATAAACCATTATCGTAATGGATTAAGCCAATTTTTCAGGTGTCATATCTTCCCAAACAATAGATTAGCTTAATTAACTTCATGCGACACATCCATATACTAAGTGTTTACTTTTAAATTTAAACAGCCACGTACCATAGTAACACCAATCAACCTTTTAAATTTTTACATTGAATTTATAGTTTAATGCTTATGATCCATTTGGATTATTTTCCAAACCATGGTGATGAAAGAATAAATGTAACCATCTGATATTTTCAATGCGATCCATTTGATGTGGAACGCCAAATTAAACACACGTGCACAGGTGGAATTGTAATTCCATCAATTTTTTTGACATTTTTATTTTGAAAAATGTGTGCGATAATATTTAGTGGACGATAATATTAGAATCGTCATTGTACGTGGATTGAATTATACAGTGTGTTGCCAACCGACGTGGCCACACTTGAAAAGTATATAAGAGGATGCATTCGATTCATATGTCCATCAAACAGTTCCTACCAATTGATAAGTTCACAGTAAACTTTCAATAGTTCAAAGCTGGAAAAATGCTGAGTCAAAGTTCTTTAACACTGCTGCTCATTGGCTTGGTGGTATCCGAGGTGAGTCGACAATTTCAGTTGATTTTTTTTTAAATTTTTCATGTTTGATTCCTTTTGTGGACAATTTGTGATTATTTTTTCTGAAATAATTTCAAAAATGGAAAGTGTTCTTTTTTAAGTTTTTCAATTGAAAACAAACTTCTATTCCAAAAAAATGTCCACCGGAAACATTTATTCTAGGGGCATTTAACTCGAAAAAAATTCGTTTTATGCGAAGAATATGCGCTTCAACTCATAGTATGTGGCGATTTCTTCGTACTATGCGTATTATGCGGTGCCTATTCGTTAGAAGTGCACACATTCGATGTCCGAATACTGCACATAGACCATTCATACTGCGAATAATTTCGCATAAATCCTACTAAAATGTTTCCTTCTCTGATTGGTCACACGCCACAATATCGACTATTTTGAATTCAAAGTGCAACGAATTTTTTCATGTAAAATTTCAAGAAATACTTGACTGCAAGTGTTTGATTTGTACTTATTTCGGCTCACATTTTTTGCTGATCATTTTTGTTAACTTCAATCATTTGTACATATGGATTTTTTATTATTTATAATCCAGATGCTATTTCCAAGTATAATGAATCGTCGCACTTTTTTTTCAACGATTTTTATATCTACCAAAACTATCGGCGATTTTACTTCAATATTTGTATAATATAACATTTTGATTTTCGTTTTCATTCTTATTCTTTGCTATTATATTTTAATTTTGTGTTATATTTAAATTCAATTTTCATCAATTAAGAACAATCTCATTAGCAAGAGATTTGATAAATATTAAAGACAGAAATTGTTGATGTCAAATATCGTTTGAACGAAACTTAACGATACAACAGAATGTTGACATTGTGTTGATGCGTCTTAAATCGCATCGTGGCATCATTATGTGCACGCGTATTCGCTTCTATGCGTAATATTCGTGACTATGTGCAAAATTCGACACACTTCACTGTGGCACACAATCTATGCGCGTTTATCCGTACAAATCACATATATGAAAAAGAGTAAAAAGCCCCTAGCATTTATTCTATTAACCTTCAAACCGTAAATTGGGCACTGTGTACCCAAAACCAACTTTGAATGTTTATATCTTAAATATTTCTTATCATAGATTAATAAAATAACTATGGTTCGAGTCGTTGAACATTTGGCTACAAAAATTGCGTTAACATACCCACATACGCGCACTATCTTACCACATATGCGCGTAAACATGTGTGATACGCTATACATAAAATGGGTGCCTGAGAGCCCATATACATTTTTCGACAAATTACGTATAAAAATTAATGTGGGAACTATGAAATATACATCGTTGGAAAGATCTTGAACAGTACATGTAATGTGAGGTATAAAACATCAAAATCGATCGTCATTTTATCAAAATATGGCCATTTTATCAATTTTGGCCAAAAAAATTCCAACGGCCAAATATTGGCCAAATGCCGGCCTATTTCGAAGTTTTATACAAAAAATGACATCTACTTTTCAAGATCTTTCTAGTGATATACATAACTTTTTGATCCAACCTACCGTTCAAAATATCAATTTTTGACGTCAAAATCGGCCATAGTGGAATTTGTATGTATACGTTTTTGCCTTCATTTTTGTGAAGAGATCAACATTGCAATTCCCACTTTCTTGAAAAACTTCCAAGAAACTTGCTGTTGTCTTTCATATTTCGATTTTTTATGACTTTGATCACATTTCAAAGTAATTTTGATACTTTTCCGGTCAATAAATTCTGAAATATTTACATTTAAAAATAAGAATTTAAGAAAAAACTGACATTTCCCATATAAAATGCATTATGGGCACTCAGGCACCGATTTTACGAACAACGTTAGAAAATACATTTTACGGTTTGAAGGTTAAAAACAGTTGAAAACCGTTATTAATACATTTATAATTAATCTCATCCGCTGTTCCCATTCCAATTGTATCACTTTGATTCTAATTCCACAGTTCTTAATCGGGGATGTGAGTGGAGCACCACGCGGTTGGAACGGTAAGATTGAGGTTTCATTTATTTATCCAGTTAAACTCTAGAATTCCATATACAAAGCACCTTGTAACGAAGATATGGGAACCTCATTTATGCTAAACTTTTCATATTTATTTGGTAAACGAAAAAGACAAGAATGGAGAGACAGCTCTGCATAGAGCTGCTTATGCTGGTAATTTTGCACATGTTTTTTAAAAGAACGTTTTGTCCAATCCGTTTCATTGATCTATGAATATTTTTCATATTCTTTCAGGTAAAGTGAAGGAAGCTCGAAGACTCATCGCTGAAGGAGTCGACCCTAATATTAGAAATTATCGGAATGTGACACCTCTGCATTATGCTGCTATGAAAGGTAACGTTGAATACTTATTGTTATTGAATAAAAGATTGACCTGATTTTTTCCCATCGATCGGTGTTATTGCTCAGGTCACAAGAGTATCGCCGAACTTCTCATCCACAATGGAGCCAATGTTGATACTGAAACTAATGTGAAATGGTCACCTCTTCATTCAGCTGCATTCTGTGGTAATGTTGATTATTTGTTCTCACTAAAAAGGGAAACAGTTTAATTTTTTCATCGATCTGTGTTATTTTTCAGGTCAGAAGAATGTTGCTGAATATCTCATCCGTGAAGGAGCAAATGTTCATAAGGAAACTTATGAGAAAGACACACCTCTTCATTTAGCTGCTCAGCATGGTAATAGTTGAATACTTGTCTCTACTAAAAGAAGATTGATTTGATCTTTTTCATCGATCTAAATTACTTTTTAGGTCATGAGAGTGTCGCTGAATTTCTCATCCGTGAAGGAGCCAATGTTAATAGTGAAAATAATGTGAAAAACACACCTCTTCATTTAGCTGCTGAGAATGGTAATAGTTGAATACAGTCTTTACTAAAAGAAGATTGATTTGATCTTTTTCATTCATCTAAATTACCTTCTAGGTCATAGGAGTGTCGCTAAACTTCTCATCGATGAAGGAGCAAAATTTCTTTATAAAAATAATTTGAATCAGTCTCCTTATCAGTTAGCTATTAACAATGGTAAAGCTGACTAAATAAGATATCGATTTGATCTTTTTCATTGATCTGTATTATTTTTAGGTCACAAAGAGATCGCTGAACTTGTTGCCCAAAAATTGAATGATTGGCTAATAGAATAGATTCAATTGGCTACTAACAATGGTAATGTTGCATATTTTTTTCACAATACATATAAGAAATTTGTTTGATCTTTTTGATCGATGTGTATTTTTCAGGTGACGAATAGCTGAACCAATTTAGCTGAATAATCGGATGATTTCTTTCGGTTCCCCTTTTTGATTGTAGTGTAGACTTAATTTCAAAACATATTTTGTCAATCTATGGCCAATTGGCCATACCAACCAATATTGTTGCTTTGTTGGACCATCGATTATTCTGTCAAAAAACAGCTCAAGTTATTTGTCTTTTTAATTGCTTACATTGCATTTTTGTGACCCTAACGTTCATCCGTGCTAAATTTGAACGCGATTTGTATGAGTCTAATGCCGTAGGCAAAATCCAAGAATGAAAATAAATTATACGAGAGGATGATAAAAAATAATCTAAATTTCAATCTGGTTTGAACAGTGTTGGTTGCTCTTGTTCACTTTCGAGTGAAAGAAGAATTTGGTTCACTCTAGAGTATAGAGTCTACGCGGATGGGTTCAATCTTTCTTGATACGGCGTCAGACGTCAATGCAGAAAGAACTCTTTTTCTTGATTATAATCTACTGAAGATTTATGCACGTCTTTTGGTGCAAAAGCATTCATTGCCCTACCTTACGCGAGCACCATCTGTTCGGTTTTAACATGAAAACAAGCAAATTGATCCATACAGAGTTATAATACAATAACATCTCTATGTAGAGGAAACGCTGTAGTTCGTTTTGTTCGGCACATTTTTTATACACTGCCTTTATTCCCACCGATTCATATATCGGTTGGCAGGTGGAGTCACTTTGCTTGTTTTCATGTTCGCACCGAATAGATGGGACGTTCGCTTTAGGGAGGGCAATAAACTGCTTTTGCACCATGAATTATTTTAATGGTCTGTTCTCGCCCAAATGGTCCGTTGTAAAAGTCAAATGGTCCGCTCTAGATCGGAAAATGGTTCGTAAGTCTCCATTAGTTTGATCATGTTTTGACCTTTTCTTAAGCCATTTTTCGAAATTTTTCCTTTCAGAATGACTGAATTTAAACCATTTTTTACCGAAAACTTTATTTCCCATATAAATGTTCTAATTTTTCGAACACTTGGTAGAGAACGAGTTGAATAAACGACAGTGCGATGAAAAAATGAAAAATGGGACAAATAAAAACAGAACACAAAAAAATAAATTTAACATTCATTAAGTTTTTGACAATCGAAACAAGCTTCACAATTCGAAAATCGGTCATCTTTGGCATATTCGCATTTCCAAAAGCCTTGAAGCTATTTATTTTATTAATACATCATTCGAAAGCGACATTCTTCGAGCATCCAAGATGGGCCTACGCTTTAGTAGATTCAGTTTTTATCTTTATGAAAATGCATCAACCATATGACAACGCTGGACTGATTGTAGTTGAATAACAATTTTCGCTTCGCTACGCTCGCCTAATTTTAACTTTTTAACCACCCTAAATATGTTTGAATTTACTATTTTAACTGTTAAAGGGCCAATGTCGTGATTAACCGACATTTGTTTAAATAATCACTGGATCTTAGTATTTTTGAAACTTCAAATAAACTTCGTTCGCACAATATTTAAAAAACACCCCTTGTATTTTTTCGAAATTCTGGTTCGTTCTAAAAAATCCTTAAAATAATCCATGTTTTGCACTAAAGGTATGATGTATGTGATGTTAAAATTTGTTACTTCGGTTTACGACAAAAAAAAGAATGAAAAAAAATGTAAAAAAACAATCCGAAGTACGTTTGAGAAATGAACAGAGAAAACCGGAGATTTCTATAACTGAGGCATATTTAATTTTTTTTCTTAATCATAGACAGATCTCACTTAAATGTAACGAGTTTGTGCACATAAACTAAATTAATTTGGCCATTTTCTTTACTCGCGATTTAGACAAAAACAAATGTATTCCTAACGTAAAGTCTTTTCGATTGAGCGTTGGTTAGACGGGATGCAGTTTGGTGTGTCCGAGTTGTCGTTTTCGTTCGATGTCGTCGGGCTCCACTTCAATTGCGTCTTTGAGTTTTGTTTTCAGCCGTCCAAAAAGAGCCGCTGTTCGTTCCCCATCATGAAAATGAATTCGAGACAATTCGTGAAATTAAAATTAAAGGCTACCACTCTCAAAACACTTTTCGTTTTTTCTCTTATTCTGTTGATCGGCTCTTTTGATTATCGTCGTCGCTGGTGCGCAGTCCGTCTTTCGTAAGTCTTGTTTGTTCGCTCGTTCAGTTCGAAAAGAACGAGTTTGACGTTGCGCTTGCCAATCGTGTTTATCGGCGGTGTTATTAAGAGGTTGGTAAGCCTGTATACGAATTCTGACTTGAATACGTTCGACATGAATTCACAGTGTTTCTGATTAAACTCTATTACATTTCTATTCGTGAGACGTAAAAGAACGTATGTTTTTTTCAGTTTTAAATATTTGAAAAGGAAAGTATGTTTTCGATCGATTTTGTCTGAGTCAGGGCGTAAAATAGCGGGCAGTTCTGCCCATTTTGGGCAGTTCTGAAGCTATTTGGGCAGTTCTAATGTTGGTTTTGGGCAGTTCAAAAACATGCATTTTAAACAAATTTAAACCGCGGTTTTTGGATTCAAAATAATCAAAAATGTAATTTATGTAATTATTGTGTGTCAGTTTACTAGTGACGATCCTAGTTGTCATTATACATAATAATAACAGTATGACATAAGAAAAATGTGTTGAATGTCAAACTTTTCAATATGTTGTGAAATTCAACTTCTATAATCACATAACCACAAAACCACATTTTCTGTAATTTGATGTAGAAAAATCAGTCAATCACTGAGTAGAAAATCAGTATTAATTTAAAATTCAAAGTGAAAAAAATACAAAACAATGTCACCACCCAAAGCCAAAAAACTGAAGGAAAATGATGACAAAAATCACCCATCCGTTGCAGCACTTCTCGCAAATAAATCGAATGCATCGGACGAAAAGAGCACTGACGACACACACGAAAGTAAACAAAACGTTCTGATTGGTTGCACCAAGTGAAAAATAATAATGGAATTGATTGGACAATAATGTTTAATTTTAATCTTCATTTCATAGACACTGGTTTGTTGTTCATTCATTACATTTAAAATATGCCGATTTTTCTCCAAATTTTTTTTTGGGCAGTTCTCAATTTCTCTTATTTTCCGCTCTGGTCTGAGTAAAAGAGAAGTATGTTTGATGGCAACTAAAAATGGTTAAAAGAATGTATGTATTTTGAATGGTAACGTTAGCGAAAAAAGAATGCAAGTTGTTCTATCTATTCAGTTAATAATAAAGAGAAGCATGTTCTCATACATTTATATTGTCAAAAAAGAAAGTATGTTGGCTAAAATAATGTAAATAAAAAAATTTATTCCGACCGCCGTGAACAGGAATTCATAAACCTTAACACGGTCGGATAAGCGAACGACCTACCACTATAAACGTCAGCGATCAACATCAACAGAGACACTATAGC